CGTGTGTTTTATAAAGCACCTGCTTAACCCTTAATACACAGCCAACGAACACGCACACACACACACACAGACAGAAAAAAAAGAGGAAGCAAAGCGAGCGACGTGGCAATAAAAATAAATCCCTATTCAAGGTGCACAGGCACAGGCCGAGGCAGAGCTGGAGCAGGAGAAGGAGGCGGGGAGGAGAGGCCTATTCACTTTTGGGAACTGCAGCGGCAAGCAGATTATGTATTTACTGCCAGATAACTCCCATTGTCGTAATGGCAAAGTTTTGCTACCTCTTTGTTGTTGTCGTTGTTGTTGTTGTTGTTGTTGTTGTTGTTGTTGTTGTTGTTGTTGTTGTTGTTGTCGTTGTTGTTGTTGTAATAAGGTAACAGCCTAGATGATTGCTAGCAACTGTTGCCGAGTTCCCCCATTGACCCTTGCTCAGGACAGAGCTAACTTTATGCTGTGTCAGCCGAGTTTACTCAAGACAAGGCCAAGACCTCACAGTGTCTATATGCATATGTGTTTGTGTGTGTGTGCTTGGCCGCCATTTTGTTTATCTGCATAATAAACAGTGCTAAAATTATTGATGCCCGCATTTTGGGCACGTTCACGTCAGCAGCAACAGCAGCAGGTAAATGGCTAATGGCATAAAAAGGTACGACCCAATTGCCATTGTTAGCCACGTCTGTCGGCAGCACTGAAAGCTCAGCTAAAGTTGTCTAAATCAAAAAATAACTTGAATTTTGTATATAGAGCAGGACACTTACAGCTGATTGGCAGGCTACAAATACCCAAAAAAAAAATAATCCTGCATATATTTGCTAACAAAACTCGATTCATTCAGCATTTGAAATGGCCTAAAAACGTCAAGTCTCATTAAGTGAATTGCTAGATAAGGTTAAGTGGGCTTTGAGTATATATGCAGCTAATGCGAATACTCTTTATTATTTCTCTGAGCGCACTTGAATAGCTTGATTGATGACATTTCGCTCGAGTGACTTGTAGAAAGCTGTGTGTGTATAGTCTAATTGGTTAAGCTACTTAGCTAAAGCTTGAAGCAGGCTTAAAGCAACATAGGAAAGAGCTGAACTCGAGTAATCTTATATATATATAATTTCATTCATATATACTTCCACTTCCTCTTCTACATTTACTATCCACAAAAATCACGCGGCCTTATCTACGTCAGCAACATGTTTTAGGCCATAGACCTAGATATCTACGAGTAAAAATTTGGTATTCACTGTGATTATCGACTATATTTGAATATCTATAAATGGAACGTTTAGAAAACAAGTTTCACGAAATCGTGACTTTGTGACTTTGGCTCCGAGCCAATCAGCATTTCATTTCAATTTCAATTTCCTCAGCTTCATTATACAGGCCATGGTCCGCACTGGAGTGTAATATCATTAGTTGCTGGCTAACCTTCAGAGTTTGCCCCAACAGCTCATGTCATAGTCAAAATGTAAAATTCATATTTTTGCACAATTTCAATGCCAAGCTCAGAGCTCGGAGCTGTGTGTAGTTTGCTTAAAATATTAAATACGCCGTTAGTTAATATGCCGTATGTTACATAATAAAGCAGATGACATTCGTGTCTGTCTGCCTGGCGGTCTGTCGGTCTGTCTCCCTCTCTCTGGCTGCCTGTGCCGTGCGGCTTTTTGCTGCTGGCGTGCAGTCAAAAAATGTCACAGCTTCATGACGCTGCCAATGCTCACCACCCCACCATCCGCTCAGAGTCTGTGTCCTCAAACTCTCTGTCGTTGTGTGCCCAGGTCTCTGTGCCAAGCTCTAGCTCAACCTCTATTTTAGTCTCCCTCCATCTCGCAGTTACCATCAGCCCAACTGCCAGTCCCCATCACAATCTCACTCACACTCCCTTGCCACCTCTCTCCCTCTCTCTGTCTCTCTCTACCTTGGCTCACCTTTCTTTGGGCACAGTTTGAGTGCAAAATATTATTTAATGCCGCCTGACAGTTGAGTGAAGCAATATCGTTTACATGCATTACATATACCGCATAACATGTTGGACGGCTGTTGGAACTGGAGCTGGAACTGGAACTGGAACTGGCACTCAAACAAATTGCTATTAGTCACAGTTTGTGCTCGACAACAGGGAATTAATAAATAATGTAAAACTTAATTAAATTAAAATAGAACTTTACAAAACTTTTTTCGTGCGAACAGCTCAATGAATGGCCTTTATATGCCATCTCTCTCGCACACACACAAGCTCTGTCCCTTTTCAATAAAATTTCATATGCAGCACATGAATTTGTATGCACAAATAATATTTTAAATAATTTTGCAGAAGCAAAAAGTTTGTATTCAATATTCTTTAAACAAATATAAACAACAACGAATTGTTTTCTTTTTTCATGTTATTATTTTTCTTTTATTTCGATTCGATTAACTGGGGGACAAACGAATGGGCAACTGCTTTAGCTGCAAAAGGTAAAAAGCAATTATTTGTATATTCGCTTGGCAACCGAATGATTTTTGTGAATATATAGAATTTTTTTATATTTCTCTTTTACTTTTTTATGTGCATCATTTGACGGTGGGTCACGAAAAAACCGGAAAAATGTTGAATAAACTCGCGGCTCACTTAATTGAATACAAAATGCGGCTCGAACAGGAAGATAATTGACAAATTTGCGCATTGAACAAATACAAATTGCACTCTGTATCTCAATCAAATGATCTGAAAAAATGAAAATACATATAAAATAAATGAAAAAAAATAACAATGTTAATAAAAGTGGACAACAAAACAATGATGGCGTGGCAGGAGAAGGAAAAGGTGAAGGGGGGTCTGTGAAAACACAAAAAATTGAGAGAAAAGGAAAGAGGGAGATGAAAAGGGAGATTGAGAATGAGAAAAAGGGAGAGGGCAGAGAGAATACAGCATGAGCATGAAAAAATGCGAGGCAGAGAATGAAAAGAGAGACAGAGAGAGAGAGAGAGAGCAGAAACAGAAGAAAATAAGGTTCGGAGCTGAAAGAAGGGACAGAGGGAGAGACAGAGGGAGAGACAGAGGGAGAGACAGAGGAAGAGACAGAGGGAGAGGCAGAGAAAGAGACAGTGAGAGAGTCAGAGAGCGACAGAGAGTGAGAGAGAGAGAGAGAGAGAGAGAGAGAGATAGAGAAATAAATAGAAAGTTGAGGCATATTATGAGAATTACAATAATAACAAAGAGAATGAGAAAGAAATGGCACAGTTCCAGAGAGAGAGAAAGAGAGAGAGAGAGAGAGAGAAGAAGAAGAAGAAGAAATTTGAGAGTATTCCACAAATACGTATACCTTTTAGAGACTACTTACTATCTCCCACCTAAATGAAATACCTCTTATTTGGCCATTTAGCTAAAAGCATAAAAAGCCTCGCTCCCATACAGGAAATGCTTTAACAAGTGCTATATAAATAGCGCGCATGATTGCAACAACATATGTAGACAATATATGGAAACAATTTTATCAATTAAAAGCCATTTCGAAAACAAAAACCCAAAAAAAGTTTCTAAAAAAATATCAACAAAACAAGAAACTACAAAAACTCATATAAATTTCGTATTACAAAAGCTATTGATAACATTTACAAGGTATTGTGAATATGTTAAGCAATATGTAACAGACTGAATAACATATATAGATTTCCATATGTATATATTTATTTTGTATATATTCCTGATCTGTTCACATGTTAGGCAATCGAAAAGATTTCGGCAATTCCCCCTATTTGATATTTATGTGCCCAAGTGTAAGTCTTCGTCTGGCAGGTGATAATGGTTCGTCCTTGTTGACTTTGCACTCTATCCACGAAATGGTCCATCGGCGAATCAATGGACTGTTGGGCAGCGCGCGTTGGCCTGCATCCGTAGAGATTGAATAAAATTTCACGCCGAAAATCACATTGCTCCGACAACAACAAACAATTCCGCACCGGAGAAGGATAAAAAACAATGCAAAACCGAAAAAAGAAGGGCCAACAATGCACATTAGGCGAGCTTGCACAACTAGGAAATACCCTGTACAAATTTCAGCTCTCTGCATTTGTTAATATTTCTGCATTTGCTTTGTTCATGCCATTCATTCCCTTTTATCACGTCTTTCGCAGGGTATTCGAACGGTAAAAGTTCCTGTTGCTTTTTTTGGGCTGTTGAATGTTGATTTTTCGCTTTTGCTTTTGTTTCTGTTGCTGTTGTTGTTGCAACAATTCGTGTTGCTGCTATTGCCATTGTCTCTTTTTTATTGTTGCACGCATTTGAACATTCATGCCACTGATTGCTGCCGCGCATAAAAAGCTCAGTGCGCAAATACGGAGAGAATAACATATGGAAAGCGGCAGCCAGAGAATACCCTGTAAACTGAGCTGCAACTCGGCAAGGACTCAAGGTTCTTTAAAGGGCGTGGTATTTGACAGCTTCATTGACTTTTTATGATGGCTCATAGGATGAGCTGATAGAAGGCTCGACTATGGGATACCATAGAAAACTGAATGCTTATGAGTATAGCTGGACGATGGGAGTTAAATGAAATCATAATTCCTTATTCATACGGATGATGTAAACATAAGATAAATTTAGTCTTACCTCTCATCACATCACGTCTATATATTGACCGGCTGTAAATACCCTACAAAAGCTAGCTAGAGTTATATGAAATACCATATACTCAATTCACTCTATAATTATTTATATTATGAGCTATAGACCCATATATCTATCTATCTATCTATCTATCTATCTTCACTGCTGTCTAACGCATACACCCCACAGCTGTTTTGATTACAGGGCATCGCTATGGCCATCGTGGCCACCGCAACTGTCGCTGGAGTCGACAGCAGCAGCAGCTGGGACTTCGATTATTTGCCTGTGTGAGGCCGAGAGGAAAACCACAGCAACAACATTTAATGGTCACGTTGCGGACACTTTGCTCCGGATCCAGTCATCAATGATTGTTGGCCGTATAGCCCGCCGTAACCGCGCATAGCCATATATATATATATATATATATATACATCATTTTTTTAATCATTTCGAATATGTGTTTATATTTGCCACATTACTTAACTTAAACTCAAAATGGACAACACGCGGCCAGAATGTCGGCCACATCGTAGCATTCACCGCGGCCATTGCACAACTGCCGCTGGGCGGAACGCGGTGCAGCTGCAGCTCGGGGCCAGCTCTGATAGACATCCTGCACGCTCAGGCCATAGCCGTCCATTAGCCAGTCTTGGAATTGTAGCGGAAAATCGCCGTTGAGCGACATAAACTGCAATCAGAAGGAAAAACATAAGAAAAGCAAATCATGATTCATTAAGAGCGAAACATAATGTCACAAAAACTTAATTTCCTGCACAACGCGGCGTATGAGCAACGCCCCGTTTCTGCAGTGCAACAACAGAAAATGAAATTAATAAAAGAAGCTGAGTGCAAAGCGCAGCTAAATAGCAGAAAGAAGGAATACAAAAAAAAAAGAATGTTTAAGATTTCTTCATCTTCTCATTTTTTGTATTTATTTATTTTTTTGTTGCTAATTAAAAGGGAAGCAAGCGTCGACAGCTAGTTAATTGAAAGCTGTTGCTAGCAGTGTCAACGCGTTTAAGCCATGTTTTAAGTACTCTACCACACACACACACACACACGCATAAGATATAAGTTGCTGCTGCTGTTGCTGCTGCTGCTGCTGTTGCTGTTGCTGTTGCTGCTACCGTTGCTGCTGTTGCATCAAGGTGTGTGGCTAGCTGAGAGCGTGTGCTGCACTCACAGCAAGGTAAACGCAGCACTGTTTGCAGTAAGCCAGCAAAGCTGCGATGCGATGCGGGTCGACAAACTGCAGTCGATAAATTGTGCCAGTGCACGTTTCAAGCGATCATGGTGAATGCGTTACCCGAAATTTCCGAAAGAGAGAGAGAGAGAGACCCAGGGGCATAAATCTACGGGGCAGTCGAGCAAACACTTGGACATTTTGTTAAGCATCACTGACGAGCTAATTAAAATTTGCCAATTAGACAGACAAACACTTGAGACACACACAGAGCACAGCAGCTGAACTGCTAGAGACAGGAGCAGCAGGAGCAGCAGCAGCAGCAGACCTTGGGCAAGAACTGGCAGCTAGAGCAGGAGTCGGCAGCAGCAGCTGGACTCGGGATCCCGGATCCGATTAGGCGCAGTCGAGTGCAGCTTTTGATTTTGTCAATTTGTACAGTGTTGATGGAATTATGCGGCAAGCAAACAACACGAAAGTTAATTAAAAATACATAAAAAATAGTTGCAGTGCAGCATGACTGACTGCCTAATGCGCGCTCAAGCTGGGAGAAAAAATGTTAAGAGTTAGCTAGAGACAAAGAGAAAGAAGAACTTGTAGCAAAGCCAATATACTCTCTCTACCTTCACTCGATGAGCGAGTATCAAAGTGGAAAAAGAAATGCTTATCGCGCTAATGTCTGTCATAAAGCAAGTGACAGCTTGTGTGTGTGTGGGCGTGGCACGCCCATGTCCGTTTAATTATGGGCAAGAAACTGTCACGAGAGATTTTCGAGCGTCGTTTGCTGAGTGCATGAAAAATGGCGACGTGAAAAATGTGATAATTATTGCAACAATTTTTCCCCAGCAAAAGCTAAAGAAGGGGGAGCAAGAAAGGAGGGAGAGAGCAAGAGGCAGGAAGAGAAAGCAACAGCAGCTATCTAAGAACAACATAATTATTTATGGCAAGCAAGCGAAGGCAGCTGTATATGTGTGTGTGGCGAGAGAGAGAGAGAGAGAGAGAGAGAGGTACAGAGGAGCAACTTCAATGGCTATAGGAAGTGGCTTGAGGGCTGCAGCCGGAAGGCGAGCAACAACCAAGCGGAAGACCCTTGAAAAATTGTCCTCTCATATAGATGATGTCTTTTTTTCACTCCCTCTCTCTCTTCCTCTTTCTGTTTGTCTCTTTTTTTGTTATGTTAGATGCCGCGCATAAATAAAGGCAAATTATTGAATGCCGAATCAGCAGCTGGAAGCAGGTGGCAGTCGAACAAAACACTTTTCAATTAAGCAACTTGTCAGTGGGCCAACACACAAGCAAAAAGGGCTTAATACACTGCCCAGAGGGGCATGCACGACTGCCAGCTACCCTGTCTAGCTGACGACAAATCCAGTTTGCTGTCGAGTCAAGCAACTCATAGAGCCTGCCAAATATTTTGCTGGGCATGCAAAAATGTGAGACAGCCGAAAAATGTGTGGCATGCTGCTGCTGCTGCTTCCTGCTGCCTTTTTGGGGCAAGCATATTTACGTTGCATGTATTTGCTGCTAACGAGCTGAAGAATTATGACTCCATTAGATAGAAGCCGGCGAGGGTTGGGCTCCAAACAGGCTCAAGGACGCATAGTTAGCTTAAAGTTGCCGCCATTTCGTTTTCCTTTTTTTCCGTTTTCTTTTCTTTGTGTGTGTGAGGGTGAGAGGAAATGCCGCCATTTTGTGCAGATTACGCTTTGATGAACTCGCTGAGAGGGCGAGCAGCCCATGCAGCTGGCTGCCACACACACATAACCATAACCTGAAGCTGAATGAGAGCCAGTCTCAGCTACAGCTACAGAGCTACAGCTACAGAGCTCAGCTCTCGCAGTGCCGAGGCGTAATGACAACGTCAACAAGATGCTGGCAAGATTGAATTTACCGAACAAACACTTTTCATTTGCAGTTGAATTAAGCAAAGTAATCCCTGGTGTATATCCTTGTTCATCTTTTTTTCCTTCCAGTCAAGGACTTGGACGTGCCTGCAAACTAGCAACTCGGCAATTTGGTAAGAGCGCAACGCAAAGCCACATTAAAGACAGAAGCAGCAGCAGCAGCAGGAGCAGGAGCAGCAGCAGCAGGAGCAGGAGCAAATGCAGCTGGATTTCAAGCAGCTTGCGTAGACATTCGCAGCAGCCGTTTAATGAGCAGCCAGAGATGAGAGCGTGTCGTGTCTTAGTAGAAGTAAATATGAGTTGGAATTACATATTTAAGAAATTTAAAAAACACCCCTGATAACTAAAGACAGATGAGTATGTATAACAGAGTTTACTCTACGGCAAACTTAAGTCTATGTAAAAGAATGACAACATAATTAACTAAGCAAAGAAGCGATTGAGTATATATAACAGCTGACTTGATATAACAAAGAGTCTATATAACAGACATGTCGAAGTAAGGGTCTATATAACACACAAGTTTGTATAGCTGCTGAACAAATAATCTATATAACAGAAATATTGATATAATGGCCAAAGCTATATAACAGATATAACAGTCCATATAAAAGACGAGTTCATAGAGCAGCTGAAGAAATTATTTATATAACAGACATATCGACATAATAATCAAGGTTGTATAACAGATATGACAGTTCATAGAACTCAGTTTCTATATATTATATGTATATATAACATAAGACAGTCATGTCTACATTTAAAATAATGGTAAATATATCGATTCAATTTCTATAACATATCATTAAACAACAATATAACAGCCAGATCTAACGATCCATATAACAGAACAGAATACATACAAAATATATAATAGAAACAAATTTATAGAAAACATCGATCTAGACTATAAAGAAACTGCATCCAAATATTCGACAACCATATCCATATGCTTCCACTTCCCCACACGCGCATCGTGTCACGACACGCACTCCGCTCTAGTAGCGCCAAAAACGCGGAACGTCGAGTGTCAAATATGAAAATTAAAAGTAAATAGCCACGCAGAGCATAGAGCAGGAAGCGTGGGGGCGGGGGCACACTGGCTTATCAATATGGAATATTTAATAGACCAAAGAAGCGTTCGAAATAAAAACTAACTAGCCAAGGCGAGGCCGCTGGGGCCAAACAAGCTATAAAAGCAGATGTTGCTGTTATTATTGTTGTTGTTGTTACTGTTGTTGTTATGCAAAAATATTTGCATGACTCTGGACCAGCTAAAAATTGAAGGCAGCTGTCCCGAGGATATGAGCAACACAGCAGCAGGAGCCGGACTGGGAGCAGCAACAGCGTTGCAAATGCAAAAGCCAACCAAATCAAAGCCAAGGTCCAACAACATTTCCGCTTCATCCAGCTAGGTTAGGCTGGGCCAGTCCAGGTCAGGCCAGGCTAGGCTAGGCCAAGCCAAAGGCCAGAGGGCACATTCGCATCCATAATTAGAAAGTTTTCTTTGGAGAAATTGCCCTTTGCAGTGTCGAGCTGTTGAGCTGATTGGACCTGGGCGATTGCAGCAGCCATAAGTAATCAATAACAGCGATTAACGCTGCCGATACGCAGGACTCTACCCCAGGGCAGCAGATACCAGATACCAATTGATTTGTAATGCTTACAAGTATTTTAATTGCCAGCACTCGAGCTCAATTGCTTTAATGAAGAGGCAATACGATAAACGCAAGTGTGTATACAAAATATATATATTTCTGTTCATATTTTTTGTGAGAGTATTATTTATTTTTCTTGCCATGGAAATAAAAATTCTTGGAATTGTAAATGAAATCTGGATTTAAAGTTAAGTCAATATATAAGAAAAGCATATTAAGTAACGAAGCTTTGTTAATAATTAAAGCTGTGTTAGGTGTATAATAGGGAATTGTAAGAAAAGTAGACTTGAAAATTTCTCTAATATCAGATTCAGTTTCAAGTTAGCTGCAGATGTTGCACGTATCTCTCTTTCTCTCTCTCTCTCTTCCTCTCTGTTTATCCATTACTTAATCGGGCTCCTTTAAAAACTATATTTGCCCACCTATATATATAGAGAGCTCAAAATAAAGTCTACCGTTTCAATATCTCACAATTTTGAGAACAATTCAGTACAGTGAGCTGCTGCTGAGTCCCGTTGGCTTTAGTAAATGGAATTTTGGTTAGTGAAGCGTGTCCAGCACGTGGTCACGTGCCTCTGAACCCAATGCACTGACAGACATCTGGGCCGGAAAAAAGTTTTAAATGCCCCCTCTTAAAGCGGGAGGGTAAAAAGCGCGTGATTTATGTTTTCCTTTTTTTTTTTTTTTTGCCCCCTCGCAGGGTCAGAGACTTTATTCGGTGCTCGATATGGATTTAAGTGGCTCATACCTGAAATTCATTTGGCATTGCGTTCGGCCAGCTGTAGTCCACTTGATGTTCTACAAGTAACTCCTGCTCCAGCTCCTGCTCGCGCTCCACCTCCAGCGCCAGCCCGGGGTAGTTGCCAGAATTTATGGCCGTGGCTAATTGGTAGAGCAAAAAACTGCTGCGTGCTAAAAGACAAAAGCAGAAAAAGCAGACGATAAGTAAAAAAAAAAAAAAAAACAACTTCGCTTTTAAGTGTCCAAAATAAGAAGAAGTAGCAGAAGAAAAACGAAAATCTAAGCAAAGTCTGCTAAGCAGCACTCGATTCCAGTTCATGGCGAAGCTCATTAAGATTTTTCTTTGACTCTGACTTAGCTGCTTATTGTCTGTCTGTCTGTCTGTCTGTCAGTCCGTCAATTGCACTGGCTATGAATTGTACTGGCTTGGCCAAGTTGGTTCGCTTTCAGGTGATTGGCAAATGCGCACATGAATCATTGATAAAGCGTATCAAATTGCAGTCATTAGACAAGTAACTGACTTTGATGGCCAAACAAAAGGCATTGCCATTGCCATTGCCATCGTCATTGCCATTGCCATTGCCGTTGCCATTGCCCAACTATTGACGGCAGTCCGGCAATCAACGGAACACTCAAGTTATTCTCTCTGATGAGCTGTACTCAAAAACAAAAACAACAAAATAAAAGGGATAAGGAAAAACAAAAGCGAGACCCGGCAAGCAGGCAGACAGGCTAAAGGAAATCAAATTGCTTGATAATCAAAAGATATACGCCGAAGAAACGGAGAAACGAAAATGAAAAAGGTAAATGAAAAAGCAATTGCAATTGCCAAAAGGACTTTCGTTGAGTACAAAATCTAAAGGGATAGTTGTACTTACAAACCGGAAAACTAAGGGCAGACAAAGACTCTACTGTGATTTAGGATAGATATATATGCCTTATAGTTGTCTTTTGATTCATCAAATTGGCTTTTATACTTTGCTGTGATGGGTCTTCTATGCACTTCTCATAATGAAGGTTATCAGCTAAATTAAACGACTCGAATGCTGTATGAATGACATATTTTACATATATCAAAAGCAAGCCTTTTCTATAGGCTATGCAACTTATCGAACGCCTTTCTCTGCAATTCTCACATCAAACAATCTCTGTAAACTTCCTCACATACAACAAACTTTATCTGGGTAAGAGCCTTCCCCTTACCCATCGCATATCATGCATGAAACTTACTTTTAATCAACGCCCCCCTCTACAATTCTCATCCAAATCAACCCTAGCCATCCGCATCAGCTGCAACTCAACAAGTATTATCAAGCGAAAGCAATTCAACTTATCCTATCAAATGAAACGAATCTTGTTTCCTTGCCTTTCCGTGCTCCAACTAGTTTTCCACTTGATTCCATTCGAGTTGAATTTTTTCTGCATTTTTCCTGCATTTTCCGCTGCATTTATTCATAATTGGACATTAACTGTTCGCCATGTGTCTCCACTCAGCCAGTTTTTTGTTTGTCTCCCGCTCTTACTCTTCTTCCTGCTCGTTCTTTGTTTTTTGTCCTTTTCGCATTTTGAAAATCAGTTTATAACTTTCCGCACTCATTACGCATACGACTCGTTGACGTTAATCATACGCCATGTTCAACGCACAAAAAAACTTTTGCACTGTCTCTCTCTCTCTTTCTCTCGCTGTATCTCTCTGCTTCTTTCCTATTTTTTCGCTTTCTGTTTACTGTTTCAGCTTTTCCATTTCTCCGATTCGCTGCTCCGTTTCGTTTCCACGCAATAAATCACATTTAAAGTTGAGCAGCGCCAAATAAATGAGACAACTGACCCAAAATGTCAGACAACTGCGAAAGCGAAAACAAAAAGCCAAAAGCGAAAGTTGTTGAATTTCTTTTTAGCTCTTGCTTCAGTTGTTGTTGCTGCTGTTGTCGAGTTGTTGCATAAAAATATTTACATTTTTTTTTGGTTGTTGTTGCTTTTTGCTCACCCTGCTAATGGCAACTGGCTGGCATTTAGCCGACATGCTGTGGCATAACTGTGTTAAGTGTTATCAGCGACGCTTAATGATGCCAAGAATAAGCTCGGACTTGCACTCTCGCGCAGCAACAACAGCAACAGCAGCAGCAGCAGCAGCAGCAGCAGTAGCAACAATTGCATGCGTGACAAATGACACCAGCGCGACATCAAAATGCTGCAACGCGCAGCAGCTCACATGGCTGGCAACAACAGTCAACAGCAACAACAACAGTCAACAGCAACAGCCAACAACAACAGTTAAGCGGATACAGCAATTGTCAAGTGGCACAGGAGACGAATGACTAAAAATAGTCGAGCACGAAGCAAAATGCAAACAACAGCAGCAACAGCAACAACAACAACAGCAGCAGCCGTAGCAGGAGCAACAGTGAGCACTGGCTAAGTGGGCAGACCGGAAGAGATAGCAGCCCAAGCACATTTCCAGCAAGTGTTGCAAACAAAGTTTCTCTTCAACTGTTTCAACTTGAATGGAAAAGAAATTTCTTATGAAATCTGTGCACAAATAGATTTAAATAAACGAGAAAGTAAAGGAGCTGCTGCTTTGATGTAAACGACTGTGCTAATACTCTGTTAGAGCTCAAATGGTAGGTGAAACCCTCTATTCTTTGTTAGAAGCACTTGCACTGTGAGTTCCGTTAGAGGCTTTTCAACTGTAATCTTGGCTTTTATATTTTTCAAGATATTTATAAAGTTTTTCGTACTCTTGCCCCACTCACTGAGTTTGCCTTGGCCTCTTTAAACTACTTCTATGTGCATCTTTTTAATCAGAAAATTCTGTTATTGATACTTAAACAATGTAAAGTTCTCCCAATTTTTCATTGAAATCGCGGTATTTCGTTCACTTTATATCAATCTCTCTCTCTCCCCCGCGTTTTCTTCGTCTCCTTATCTTTGCCCTCTGTCTCCTTACATGTTTCTATCTTTGATATTTGGTTGCTCTTTCTCTGAGACTCTCAATTTCAATCTTTCAAACCTCAATCTCTCTCTCTCTCTCACTCATTCTCCAATTTAATCTCTCTCCCTTTCCAGTCTAATATCTGTGTCTCTCTCTCTATTCGCTCTCCCTCGTTTTATCCCTCTTTTAAATTAGTTCTCTATTCTTGTGACTCAGTCGTTCACTCTTAGGCTATCCTCACTGTGCCGCATATCGCTCATCGCCGTCTCTCGCTCGCTCATGGAATTCGCGAATGATACTTGAGTTATTTTTGGGTTTTCGCTCGCTGATGCGACCCACAAAAACTAAAAAACTGGTCCAACTAAATGCAGCAAAACGAAAGACCAATTACGAATTCGTTGACTTTTGCCACACACACACACACACACACACACACACACACACATATTCACACACACACGATTACTATTCGAGTGGCACAGTGCGTATGCGTGATAAACAAGCCCTAATTGCATGTGGGTAGCTGAAAAGCCAAAAAGGGAACCAAAAAAAAAAAGTTAGCCTTACCTGCTGCTGGCACCTGGGCCAGCACTCGCTCAGCTGGCGCCAGTTGCACAGTCTCGCTGCCCGCTAATGAGGCACTCGAAGGGCCTAAAGCGACGCTCGCTGCGGCAAGCAGCAGAACTCGGAGCGTACGTAAAGCATACGCCATGTTGTCCAGCTGCAAAAGCAATAGAAAATGTTACCACAGCTGCTCGGCGGCCGTCTCCTAACATAATAAATAAACTCTATTCACTGAGTGGCAGAGAGCGAACCATTCAATTGTGCCCGGCGCATTAACAACAATGCACTTAACACAAAACCTGCCATTGTGCTCTACGCCTTGACCCCTTCAGCCAGAGCGAGACGCCGAGGCTTCATTGTTGTCCTGTCAGCTTCCATGACAGCTGCAATACGTACTGAGAGTGGGCGTGAGAGTGGTTTTATTCCAACTAATATTCTGCTAAACGATTCACTTTACGACAGATGTATATCTCGATAAATGGTTAAAGGTAGTTGGCTTAATTTGAAATGGGAGACTCTTCAAGATCTGAATCACTTGACTGATAAAATTGTCTATCAAAGTTGAAATTAATTATCTAACAAAGTTGAAACTAAATACCATATGGTTAGGCTCTTGAAGGGAGAAGACATGCGAATGATTAACTTAAGCATCGATAACGATTGAAGAGGAAAAACCTATCGATAACTTTAAGGTAATTTGATCTACTATTGTATTACGTGAGCCGATCTCGAGTCTTAAGCTTTATTGGTTCTGAGATCGATGCGTTTATAATCAATCAACAACAATTGAATGCGAAGATCAGAGACAGAGAGAGAGAGAGGAAGAGAGAGAGAGAGACAGAGTGTGGTGTAGAGAGAGGGAGCTATATGAATGTAACTATCAAATTAGGCATTAGCATGTATTTCAGCCACATTAGGCCAATGCTATATATCCATTCACAGCAAACTGGAAAATTGCAAGCAAATAGCACCATTTCATTCCAAACTAACCCATACCAATCTCCCCTTTGCCATCTCTATTTCACACACACACACACACACAGAAACTATCTGAGCAGCATGCGAGACATTCAGCTGCTCTTGCATAGGGGCTTATTAACGCCCCGCTTGATCTGCACTATTTCGCACGCATCGCTCGAGGTCTGCCCCATTTGCTGGGGCGCTGGCGCTGCTGGAGCTGGGTAGGATTTATGAGGCAATGCCAGAGTTGAAGCGCCTTTCCACTATTTTGGCAGCAATTAAGCGGCTTAAGAGCTGGCGCCCGGTTAAAAACTTCAACTAGTATTTCGCATTTAGCGACTGTCAAATCTCGAAGAAGCTGTCTATTTGTGTGGCCGTAGGTGGCAAAGAGGGGGCGTGCCTTGACGAGCAACCACCCTCACACAGACTGTCTTCCCTTCTCCCCCTCTCTCTCTCACTTAGTTGTTGCTACTGCAAATTGCATTGTTCACTCGCTGGCTCCTTTGTAATTTAATGAATAAACGAGCAATTCACTACAAATTTTATAAGAAATAAAAGAAAAAGGAATAAGAGCACGGGCTGTGTAGGCGTAGGGGCGTGTGGGCGTGGCTGATTGTACACATGACAGCCACGTTTAATGTGCACAAACTAAAGTGCTTGCCTCACTCCGATTCGCCTCGTCTTGCCTCGTCTGTCGTTGACAACAAATGCAGACAGGAAGCAGTGCCTGCCTGCCACGCCCACCCGTCCAACTCGCACACACGTCTGTCTACTTTTGCTGCTCCTGCTGCTCCTGCTGCTGCTGTTTGCTGTCTCTGCGGCCTGGCAAAACAAACAAGCAACAAGGAATTGTAGTTCCCCCTGTTGTTGTTGTTGTTGTTGCTTTTGTTGTTGTCCTACAGCAAAGACGATAACGAGCTGTGGAGCCAAAGAGGTGCAAGCAGATTTTTTCGGTTAGCCCCACAGACAGAAAAGCGCAATGATTTCGCTCTCTCTCTCTCACTCACCCACTCTCGTACCACCCACTCATCCGCACGCCTTACGATTGCAAATGAGAGTTCTCGAAAGCAAATTCAATTCAATTTCACTTACAGCACGAAAAGTTCTTAATAGACCTATCCCAATACTCAGCTTAGAGACACATTCGAAAGACGATTCAGATAAATGATTTGACTTTCAAATAGCCAAATTGCTGTTTCAGTTTCAGTTTACTCTTTGTCCATTGCCATTGCAGGAAAATAAGCTCAAATCGTCTGCATCAATAGAGCTAAGATTGATGCAGAATCTTTTAATGGGACTTTTGCGAGATTACGAAAATGATCAATAAATAAATAATATTATTCTCTTCTTACTTTCTTCTCAGTTCTCATTCTCTCTCAATGTGTTTCCTTTTCACCTTGAATTATCTGACATCTTCTCTTCTATTTAGCCAACTGGCTGCCTTTCTCGCTCTGTCTCTCTCTCTATCAGCCTTTCTCTCTCAGTTTCTCTCACTCTTTCCCCACCTGTCACTCTCTCTCTCTCTCACTCTCCAATTCCTTCAGTCTTGCTCGATCTAATTTTCCTGATCCTATCCACCTTTTTCATTTACTCTCCGTGGTATGCTCTCTCTCTCTCTCACTCACTCTCTGTCTCTCTCTCGCTCTCTCTCTCTCTCTTACTCTCTCCCTCTCTCTCTCTCTCTCTATGTCTCTCTGTGTGTTTCTGTATGCCTCCCATCTTTCCGCAAATCTGTCTCTTTGTCCGTGGCCATCTCTCAATTTATTTAGTTCCTTCTACAGGGTATCTATCTATCAGGCACAGTTTACTTCTTTGTCTCACTTTCCTCGCCCTTTTTTTGTCAAGTGTTTTGTTTACAGTTGTTTTCTCCTTTTTTTTATATTGTTGCTGCTGCATGCAATCCAGCTATTAATGAACTGAGAGCTTAAGAACAGTTGTGTGTGTGTGTCTGGATATGCTCATACGTGTGTGTGTGTGTATGTGTGTCTGTGTATAAGTGCACAATTCGTTTTCTCTCTTTGTTTTGCAACATAAAATTTAATTTTACACCTGGCTATCTCTTTATTAAGAGTTCATCACACACATACACCTGCACACTCACACACATACGTGCACACTCACACAGACACTCGATGCTCGTATGTACCGTTAAATGTGGCGTCAACTGCCGTTACTTTTAATTGTTAGTGCCCAAAAAGCTGAAGCGCGACTGAACGGCAAACAAAACAGAAAAGCATAAAAAAATCATCAAAAAAAAAATGAAGAAGAAGAAGCAGCAGAGAGCAAAATGATATTAGTGATAAAAAGTAATATACAGAATGAAATAAAGTGGAATCTATGACATGCTGAACTTTGATTGAAATTTAAGAAATCAATGCCAGAGGCAATATAACCCCTGCCACATGCCCACCACCTGCTGCTGCTGCTGCTGATGATATCGAATGATAAGAGGCGACAGTGATAACAGCGCGACCCTGGAGAGCAACAAACGAGATGTACAGCTGCGAGGGCTCACAGTCGATAAGGTAGTTGAAAATTAATATGCATTAAATGTCAAATGTTCCACTAATTTAATGGAACGACAACAGCGAAATTAACTAGCCATAGGCCCGACATAGATACGGAAATAGTTGATTAAGTTAGTAAATATATTTTAGCTGAGTGGGAGTTAGAGATTAGCTAATATATATACATATAAGTACATATAAAGAGAGAAGAACGTATTTAGGTGAGTTCTAAACAGATTTTAAATATAATTTGTTTTAATATTACTTAAATAATCTGTCAAATATAAAATTTAAGTAAATTGAATAAACTTTTTAAAGTTATAATTGAGTTTTAAGGCAATGAATAATATTAGATTAAGTAATAGTGGTACTCGTAATGCTGCCATTTTACAGTTACGCTTTTCACGCTCGCCTTTTACTTCGATTTCTCGCCGCATTTTCTTGTTCAGTCCATTTAATTAATTCAAATGTCTAAATAATAATTTGTGCTATTTACTCGTGGCAATAGATAGCTCTATCACATTTTCAATTTGCCTTCACTCAACTGCCGTTGTTGTTGCTTATGTTGTTGTTGTTGTTGTCCGTTGCCTTGGCTGAACTTAAATATTGAGCCTTAGGCGCCAATTTGCCTGCAATTGGCATTCAAGGGAAAAAGCGTAAAAGAGCGAGCGATAGAGATTGCGAGAGAGAGAGAGAGAGCGAGATAGACAGCTAGAGATTTGTATCTTGGGAAACAATTTTAAATGGCGCACAAAAATGCCGGAAACCAGACACAAAATGTTAACGGAAAAGGAAACAGGCGTACGAGCAATGGAAGCCACACACACACATAGGCACACACATATACACAGGCAATGCAATTTGTATGCGTGTGTGCTAGCCTATAAAAACGTGAGCTAACCAAATTTATATAACAAAAATTTAACTCCACGCCCATCTACAGCTATTTCATTGTTATTTCATATTAATTTTAAAATACCCCAAGTTTTAATTTATTAATTGCATCAATTATTAATCACTCAATTGCAATAGTCTCGAAAAAATTCAACAGTTGCGCCACTGTTGAGTAATTCTGAACACATTCTCTGAAGCGCCATCTGGCGGGAACATTTGTGAGCAACACTCGCGCTGCCAGCTCTGTGGCAAACCAGTTCCGTTCCACGCGCTTGACCAATTTTAGTGTATTCTTAGTCACTGCTGCTAAACCAGAAATCTAATAAGAAAAAAAGTGAAAATAACAAAACAAATGCGATAAATTTTGTTAAAAAACAACGCAACGATAACGGTGCGCAATTGCATGGCGCGTTAACAACAAATTGCGTATGTGCGAGAGTAAAAGTGCAGCGAATATACATATGTACATGTAAAGACGACACCACACAAATAAAAATAAAATATAAAAGAAGAGCAAAAATTATAAGAAAAGACGACGAAGATGAACGAAGAAGAAGAAACGACAGCAGCAGCAGCAGTCGAATCGTGATGATAAGTTTGTGCGAGTGCGGTGCAACGAAAATAACATACATAATACGTGTGTGTACATAATACACACACACATGAAAGCGCCTCTGCGTATGTGTGTGTGTGCGCGCGCGTGTGTGTGTCAGCGTGTGTGTGTGTGCTTGGTTTTTGGTGAAAAAAAAACACCACACAACAAAAAGCCAAATCGGAGCACTAGCTGAATTTACATACATACAAACAATTACAACTACAACTAGAAATATATATGTATACAGAAATATATAACAAGGAAATGCAATACAATAACGGTAACGTGCATAGTCCGATTGTGTCCAACTAGAGCAGCTGCGTGCTGTAATTCCCTACTCAACAACAAAAAATCCAATTGGCATCACAACTGGACCAATTGAAATCAACTACTTAAACGTGTCGCTGCAATAGAACAACGCGGTTAGCTAGTCCAGCTGCATGCCGTAATCCGTGCAACAACCAATTGGAACTACAAACTGGACCAATTGGCACCAAAGCCAACAACAACGTATAGTTTTTTAAAGTGTCGCTGTCGCTGCCTCAGTCGACGTCTCGGTGTGAAAAGAGGTCAAAGGCGCAACAAAAGTTTTTCATTTCGTTGGTAACGCAAAAGGCAACAACAACAACATCGAAAGTGTGCCCAAGCAGCTGAGCGCAAAATACAAAAAAAACGTCGTAGTTGTGCGTTAAAACAATAAACGCGCGCGTATGCGTGTGTGTATATGTGTACCTGTGTGTGTAAGTGAGCAAACAACAACAAAAATCACAAATAGAAGAAGGAGAAGAGGAAGAAGAAGCAACAGCAGCACAAAAATCTTGCGCGCGCGGCCATTAACAAAAATTCCCAACTGGAATAGCAGAAGCAGCAGCCGCAGCCGCAGCAGCGCTCAAAACTCAAATTAGAAATCAATTTTCAAGCAGAACGCAAAATAAAATCTGGTTTTATCAGTCGACGCGCACAACAAAAATACAAAAACGGCTGACAAGTTTTTTTTAGCGTAAAGAAGAAGACGCAGTAGAATGAAATAAAATAACTTTGAGCTTAGAGCAAACAAAACAGCAGCTGGAAACGTAGAAAAAAGCGCCAAAAAAATACACATATAATATTTACACACCTACGTATATACATACATAGTACATATATATGTACAGCCATAACAGAGCCATCATAGTTTAATACATACTTATTTTAATTAAGAAACAACAACAATAACAATAACCCAACGACAAAATTATTAAATTTGCCAATCGGCCACCAATTGGAGTTGCCAGCTAGTTGGCAGTGAGAGACAGAAAGTGTAAGAGAATCCGGCGCTCGAGAGAGAAAGAGAGTAACTGCTGCGGCTACACACACAGAACATCGCTGAGCGGCAGCGTGTGAGCGTGAGCGAGAGCAACTGATTTTGTTGTCATAGCGCGCGCTTGACAAGTAAGTAGAAAAAAAAGCAAGCCCTCTTGACTGCCTGTCGCCCCTCCACCCCTTGCCCCTCCGCCCTTTTGCAGCGTTCGTTTTGCTTTGCAGCCGGCCGCCAATTTTGCGTCTTTTTAGTGTATTCGTTTTTTTTCGGACATGCGGGCCTCCTCTCACTCACAGCTCTCGCCCTCGCTCCCACCCTTGCCCACCCCCGTCTCTCGCTGGCACCAACAAACAGTGCAAAATTATTCAAAAATTCCATGGCGCGCGCGCCGATAAAGCAGCTGATAAGCGCAGAGCAGACCTAGCCAAGGGCCATGGGGGGAGAAAAAGGGGGAGCAGGCGAATAGGTAGCCCCAGCTGCCCACACACACAGCGACGCAACCCTGAGCCTAAATAAATTTTTATCGTTTCGGTTATTAAATCATTATTAAATGTCATTATCGATTCGTGGGAATGATTCCGCTTCGCTCTGCTTCGTCTTTGTTGTTGTTGTTGTTCTTGTTGTTGTTGTAGTTGTCTGCCATCTATTTATGGCCTGCTGCTGTCCCCCTCAGACAGCCGCACATCAGCTGCAACAGCTGGTCATCAGAGAAGATGGAGAGAGGGCAGAGGGAGAGAGAGAGGCTTAGCTCAACTGCTTATGGAATTTCTTTGCGTCTGAGCTGAATCGCCAATCAGCTTTTTTAACCAATAGCTTTAAGCCGAATTCGGCTCTCGACCAACACTTCCGAGTTGTTAGTCATGCGGTCCGCTTGACATTTAGCTGTAATTGCCGCCCGATCGCTAGCTGGGAAATTGATTTTCTGGCAGGGTTTTGTTTTTGGGGAGGGGGTTTCAAAATAAAAGAAAAACCAATATAATTTATGCCAACCAAGCGTAAGGAAACTTGTGAACTCTATTGGCTCATAAATTATTAATGGTTAGTTTTTGGTTATTTGTTACTGTTTCATGAGTGAGAAACCCTGTTTGAAAATAGGAACAGCTGAAACTTGAAAAGAGGAAATTAGGTTGAAAAACAACTGGCATTCAATTTGGTTAGCTGGAAATGTCAAGTTCACATAATATATAAAGCCAGGGCTAATCTACTAGTCAGTTGCCGTTTTCAGTATTTCAGTCTAGCATTTTAATATTCCAATATTAATTAATGCCTTTCATTTATCTTTAAAGAGCCCAATCTTTAATCACAGAAAACAAGTATAAGTACACGTGGACTTAATACTTATTTGACACGCATAAACATGGGAATACGACTATCAATACTTATAAAGAGAGAGAGAGAGAGAGAGAGGCAAAGACAGATGAAGAGAATTAGATAGAGTGATAGTGGGCGAGATAGACCAATTCAAAGGTGCAAGTCAAAACCTTTGAGCCTTATAGCCTTCGAGTTATTTATAGGCCACCCACAATTGCGCCTCTTAGCTGATTTATCAGCAATATGTACATAGTATACATAATACCGCTATATATTATACTTTAGTCACGAGTACGATTCAAGATCTATGTCCAATCCGCAGATAACAATTCATCCGACAACGCATGACTTCATGGCTCGATTGCTCTATCATTTATTCACATGTTTTTCTTCTTTTTTTTTGACAAAGATAAAGCCAGGTGTGCTTGTGAGTGTGCGTGTGTGCGTGTGTGTGTGTGTTTGCCTATTTTGTCTTTAGCGATCTGTGGCTATAAAATTGTCAGCTCTTTTTCCCTCACACCAGCTCATCAAATTGCCAAGAAGCTGCACAACTGGTTTGATTTGCCCCACCCAATGGAGTGGGGGGAAAGGTTATGCAGACCCACTGAATGAATGCCCTTCACGTGTTGCGTGCAGAGGTACTCGCTGGAAACCTTTGCCCTCCACCCTTTGCGAATTCATGCAAATTTATTTCGTTTACTACGCAATCGACTTACATTTTTTGCATTTGCATAATGCAGCTGCAGGTTGGGTCCCCTACGGCCATACTTACACACATATGTACATACATACATATGTGTATGTGTTGATATATGTATGTACATAGTATAGCTGAGACAGTTCCAAAGAACTATAAATCCATTGTTTACTTTTGCGACGAATGCTATGTATATTTCCCGCCCTTTTTACATATCACTTTGGGTTATGCAATAAATCGCTGAGAAATGCTCAAATACTGAAGACCGTGCGAGCGAGACAGTGAGAGTGAGAGAGAGAGAGAGAGAGAGGGAGAGAGACTGTGAAATAGAGGGAGGGCGAGATAGACAGATAGAGGCGAGTACGAGGTTGCCGCTACGGCTATGTCTGATTTGTTGGGCCAACTATCTGCCTTATCAGCTGACACATTGATAAAGCGAAGAGCAGACCAAAACATAAGCAATACCCTAGGTATGTGCAAAGCATAGACGACGACTGCAGGCCGTTTGGATAGCCATGAAATGAAATGAAGACGCTGACTTGTATAGAGTTTAAAGTGTAGTTGTACTATAGCTAAGTAGTTACTAACTATATATATTAATCATCATCAGCTTACTCATATGTGTATATGATATAGTTTCTCTTTATACGGATACACACTGTATACATTACATATATAATTAAATATATATATATTACTTCACACCCAATTAGCGGCCAATTATTCAATTCATTACTCTTCGAATTTATATTTAAAAGATATTATATATACTCATACAACTTTGATGAAATGTAAATACATGAATAAAACTTGTTTGCTTTATATATATTTATTTAAGTAAATGTATATAAATTTTTCCTTAAGGTAAGAAACTTGAGATCCCATAATTCATTTGGGTTTGTCAATTAAGCTGATTTTTAATACTGAAAAAAGTAGTCTTTCCATATCTGAATGGACTTTGAGCTTTTTATATATATTCGGTAATTTTATTTAGTTTATCCTTGCCTACATATCGTAATATATGCCCAATCGCTTATATATTATATCATCATATCCTCAATTTAAAATAGTAGGTTTATTGTAATATACATAGCTTGTACATATCTCAAAAGTATCTCACTGTGAGATAGAGTATTCAAAATGCGCCTTGGCCTTGTCTAAGCACGCTCCGAGTACCCTTCTCTCAAAGGCACTCGACTCCATATAGCAGCGAGAAACTTGAATCGATGCGCTCGAGATAATAAAGCGTAGCAGAGCAAAGCAAAATGAACGTATCTCGCCAGACCTTAAATACCTTTCCCCCATCTATGCAGCTCACTTATACGAATTTATACTATATACTCGTAACTAACTTCAATTCGCAGAAAGTAAACGCAGGCGCAGGCCGAGGACAAGTGAAGGAAGGGGCGGCAACAGCAGAGAGCAGCCATGGCGAATCCGCGTAAGTTCAGCGAGAAGATTGCCCTGCAGAAGCAGAAGCAGGCGGAGGGCACGGCGGAGTTTGAGCGGATCATGAAGGAGGTGCATGCCACCAAAATGGATGAGACGCAGGCGAATCAAAAGCTATTGGAGTGCTGTCTAGGCGGGCCGGAGAGCGGAGCCGCCAGCAGTGCGTCGCCAGGTGCGAATGCGGGCAATGGCACGGGCAGCGGCAATGGCAGCGGCGCCAGCGGTGGTGCCTCCCCAGATGGCATAGCCGGCGCAGGAGGAGGAGGAGGAGGCGGTGGTGGTGGTTCACCCACTGCGTATCGTGAGTCGCGTGGCCGAAGCATGGGCGTTGGTCCACTGCGACGACAATCGGAGCGGAAGCAGGATCGTTCGCCCTATGGCAGCAGCTCGACGGCTTTGATTAATGCCATGGGCTTGCCCAATGTCAGCGTTGCCGGCAGCAACAACAGCAACACCAGCAGTGGCACCGGCAACGGCAGCAACAACAATAACAACAACAACAGTGGCACACAACAGAACCTCTTCCTGAGTCCGCCCATGGACTCCAACTGGCGTCGTTCCAACTCCGACTCGGCGCTGCATCAGAGCCTCAACATGGCCATGGCTGCAGAGGGTGGCTTCGGCAATGACATGAACACGCTGCACGCCAACTATGCCCAGCAGCAGCAGCAGCAGCAGCAACAACAGCAGCAGCGGCAACAGTCGCCCCATAGCCAACGATCTCATTCGCCGCACCAAATCGGACGCAGCTTTAGTCCGCAGGCGCAGAGGAGAAAGACGCCGCTGTTGCAGCCGCACCAGCTGCAGCTGCAACAGTTGCAGCAGCACCAGCACAATATGCAGCAACAGTTGCACATGCATCAGCAGCAACAGCCGCAAGCACAACAGCAACAGCTGCAACTGCAGCAGCAGCAGCAGCAGCGACAGCAGTTGCAACAGCAGCAACAACAGCAGCAGCAGCAACAACAACAACAGCAGCAGCAACACCAGCAGCAACAGCAACAGTTGCATCCGCCATATAACGCCAAATTCGCCAACTCATTGTTCAGGCCGCTGCAGGAGCAGGCCAACTATGCCAATACCGGCTCCCTGCCAAATCTCACAGCACTGCAGCACTACGCAACGCCACAGCAGCAGCAGCAACAGCAGCAACAGCAGCAGCAGCAACAGTTGCATCAAACACTCTCGCCTGTCATGTCGCCGCACAATCAACGACGCGATCGAGATCAGTCCCCCAGTCCGTTCAGTCCGGCTGGGCCGCCGTCGCCGTACCATCAGCAACAGCATTCGCCAACGTCAGCCGCCGTCGCCCAGCCGCCAAACAACAGCAGCAACAGCAACAGCTGCTCGCCCCATCTATCGTTCAGTCGCCTGGGCGACAACAGTGCCAGCGCCACTGTTGCTGGCAACTTAACGGATTATCGGCAGCCGGCGAATCCGTCTAGTCCACGCTCCTCGCCCGGTCTGCTGAGCAGTGTCTCGGGCAGCGAGCTGCACACCAGCGCTCCGGCCAGCCCCATTCGTGTGCAGCACCAGCAGCAGCAGCCACAGCAGCTGCAACAGTTGGCGGCTGGGTTTGATGGGGCCTACAATAGTCTGAATCCCTCGTTTCACAATCACTTTGAGAACTTCTCGCTGGGCGACAGCAACTCCTCGCCCGAGCAGCAAAGTTTCGCCAACAACTTTGTTGCCCTCGACTTTGATGACTTCACGGCGAATGCGGCGGCGGCGGGGACGAGCTCGGCGAATGGCTTTAATCAGCCGGAGCAGACGCCAAACAAGCTGATCGACTTCAACGAGCTGAGCGGCAGTCCCGAGGCCGGCAGCAACAACAACAATCTGAGGCGCATCAACAACCAGCAACAACAGCAGCAACAGCAATTCCTCAACAACAACAGCAATGGCTCGGCCACGCACAATGGTGGTCCGAGCTTAAATGGACCCGGCGTGGACAGCCAGCACCACAACAACAACAGCAATGGTGTTGGTGGCGTGGTTGAGCCGCTGGTCGCCTCGCCAGTGCCATCGCCCGGGTTGGTGGGCTGCCCCAGCTCACCGCTGCCCATACCCATGGCCACGCAGGCGCCATCGCCGCATCAGCAATTGTCGCTGTCGCTGCATCAGTCGCCGCACCACTCACCAATGCACTCGCCGCACCACTCGAACTCGCCGCTGTCGAGCAGCTCGCCGGTGGGCAATGCCTGCAACTCCAACATGATTATGAATCATCAGCAACAGCTGCAGCATCACCAACAGCAGCAGCAGCAGCAGCAGCAACACCAGCAACAACAGCAGCACCACCACCACCAGCAACAACAGCAAAGCCATACGCCCACCACAGCCAATATACCCTCGATAATATTCAGCGATTACTCCTCGAATGCGGACTTCAATAGGATTTTCGATACATTAGATCTGGACTTGGGACAGATGGACGTGGCCGGCCTGCAAATATTGTCCGATCAGAATCCCATCATGATTGCGGATCCCAGCATCGAGGATAGCTTTCGCCGCGACCTCAACTGATACTATGAGGAGGCTGTTGCGGCCATCGAGAGCGGCGTACTGCTCGAGGATACATATGATGCATTGTTAGCCTCCAGCAGCTCCGTCGAGGTGCCGCAGACAACAGCAGCAGCAGTCGGAACAATCGGAGCAGCAGCAGCAGCAGCACAAGACACAGCATCAGTAGAAGCAGCAGCAGCAGCTGCTGAAAAGGATAAAAAGGATTTGGAGGTGATTGAGCTGCTTGTGCCGAGTGTTATAGATGAACTTGTTGACTCCAGCGATTTGGATGAGGAAGTGCGCAAGTTTTTCTTCTAAGTCAAATCAAGCCAAGTTAACACACACACTGACACACAAACACAAACAAATACATCACACACACACATACACCTAAGCTAATTGTAAGAGTTTGTCCATGCTAGTCTTTTGTACACACTCCTCCTCCTGCCCGTCCCCGCCTTATGTTATGGATCCCCAACAAGAAAAGAAAAAACCCCCTGTCATTCGTCTGTGCTTTGTGTAACTAGCTAGTAACAAGGTTAACCCTAGACATTAAGTGTACGACAGAAAGCCCCCTTTTAAATACCAGACCTCTACATAAACCCCAAATTAACCCGAGCAAAAGAAAACCCGCCCTTACCTTATCTTATATATATATATAAATATATACATATGTTTTACAGCGAGTCTCAGATTTTACTTAACTACGCACATAAGTCACGAAAATACCTACTACAACTACTTACTATATATGTATATGTACATATATATATAGATATATAAATCTACTTTACTGTATATAACAAACACATGTATATGTATTTATTTGTATGATGAAAGGAATATGAAAGAAAACGGATTAAAAACCAAAAAGTGTCTTAGACCTACGACCAAATTATTGTTCTTTACAAAGAAGGAGATGAAGCTGAAGATGAAGAAGAAGAAGCAACACACAAAACAAGAAATTCCTGTAAAATAAAAGCTACAATTTACCAACTATTTATAACTGATATCCAGCTATTATATATACATATATATATACATGTATATATATACATATATTTGTATGGATATATCGAAATTTACCCTTACGTGCCGTCGAAGCAATTACTAGTATTTAAGCGTGCGAGTTATCGTTTATGCGGTTATCGCTAATCGATAACAATAAAAAATTTAAAAAATAAACACAAAACAAAACATTTTTAGCCTCCTCTTTTTGTTCGAATATACCGAAAAACAGTTATAAAAATCAACTTATTTTCAGTATCACAAATCTAAATAAATATATATATACAAATTTTATATATGTGTATATAGGATCCGATTGCGCTCCATTCAGTCGATAAAACTTAACGAAAACACAAAGAATAAACTGTAAATCAAAAAGGAAAAACAAAAACGAACAACTCAAAATTTTTTACAAAAATTTGAAAGTATAAAGAAATATATACATAAATAGTTAGGAAATTGTCATACAAAAATAAATAAAATAAAATCCAAGTCAAAATACCTTTTATTCTATTGTAATCCACACACACGCAAATTCTACGTACCAAAATTTTTTAATATTTTATTTTCAATTAAAAAAAAAAAAAGTTATTAAATTGATACAAAAAATGTTTTCAAATAAAAGCGAGAAACAGGCTTTAAAAATACATAAAAGTGCAAAAATTATTAATTGAGTACCAGAACATATATATTGATATATATATATATATGTATATAAAATATATAAATATTATAGATTTTTGCATAAAATATAAATTTTCCTTTTTTCTAATGTCAAATGTAAAATTCTAGTTCTAAACTTAAATAAGTAAAGTTAAAATACTTAAAAAAAAACGTACGAGAAAAAAAATTAAAAAATATTAAAAATATTGTAAAAACGCATAAAAATTAAAAAAAAAAAATCATTTTTAATTATATTTTTCTGTTTTCTTAATGCGCTAAAATAAAAAATAAATAAAATGTGTATGTAGTTAATACATAAAATACTATTAAATTAAATATTTAAGTAATTGTTTATTTCTAAAAGTAAACAACAAAAAAACAGGCATAAGAGTATATTCAATGTAATAACACAGTTATTTGTTTCAAATAAATCTTACATTTAATTTTAATTACAATTTCTGTTATTATTATTATTTACACTGTACTACGTGCTACTGAAACGAATTGCTATAAATTCAACAAATTATTAAATATGCAAATAATTGCACGTTTAATTTACACTCATATATATATTTTTATACCTAGGTACTTGACCATATCAATTGAATTGCAAAGACATATGAAAATAATTGATACTCGGTATGCCGAATATGTAATACCCTCATAGATACTCTATAATATGAGGTTTATGATAGGATATTTTAGTTAAAATTATAGCCAAATATCACATTTCAGTGGATTCCTATAGTCGTAATAGTAAAGCTCCACAAAAATTAAATTTTATTAAAATATCTTTAAAATCAACAAAGTCTTTTCGACAAATGTTCTACTTGCATTGAATTTTATCTATGACAGCTATATGATATAGTGATCCAATTTTGATAAGATTATGTTTATACATATATTTGGAAAAAACTGTGAAACCCGAAACATTCGCCAATTAGTTTAGAAACTCTAGAAATATAAATCATGAGTTTTTTATTGATCTTTCCCATGACAGCTCTATGATGTAGTCCACTGATTTAATGCGAATAATTTATATGGATCTATAACAGGTAATAGCTATAAGGCACTTTGCAGGTAGACTTGAATTGATGAGTCACCTATTCATATTGATCAAAAATATATATAAACCTTTCATATCATATGTACGTGCGCTTATTTATTTCTCTATAATATACATAGTTAGGTATAAAATTTCCTGTTGTCTACTTTCATGCGTTACATGCCCCGTCACATAGTGTGACTATCCCTGAGTGTTATAGAGTACATAAATAAACACATTTTTTATTTGCACACACGACAAACGCAGACGTTAACATGGGCTGCAGATTACAATTAGCTGCAACGGTTGTTGTTTGGCTGTTGTTGTTGTTGTTTTGCTATTTTGTGTGCTGCTTTGTAAATAAGCACGACGCAATTTGTAGCTCGAGCTATATTTAGAAGCCAAAGTTCGATGCGGAGACACAGTTAGTCCTATTTTACTATTGCCTTTTACCTTTCACGCAAGGAGTAAAAGCTGGAGTAAGAGCAAGCGAGACACGTATATGCATAAATACATACATGCATATGTATGTATGTAGGTGCATGCTTTTACGCTCGCATCCTTATGCATGTGTGCGCGCACACACACACACATACCACTCATAGTAGAGCATGTGTTGTGCGCACAACTCATAAATGTTGAGACAAGCTTACTTTATTAATAAAACATGGAAAAAATGATAAACTACAAGCACCGACCTGCAGATACACTACCAGGCATAAGAAACAAATTAAAAAATTAGCTTGATTTTCATTAAATTTATTTATTTATTATTTATTAAGCTTAACACCTCAGACTAGTCACATTGACTTTCAATACATACATATGTATGTACGTTACATATTGCCTAATATAAGTTAAACAACCTTTTTTACTAGCGTGCTAAAAGCGCAAAGCGCAAATCGCAATTAAAAAATCAAGCTTTTGATTTTTATAACGCTGCTCGCGTTGACTTTGCTGATACTGTTAACGGTAAAAGGGCAAGTCGCACAAAAGAGCGTAGGCGAGAGAGAGAGATGGAGAGAGAGAGAGAGAGCGTTAACGCGCTAAATGTCACATCTCTCAACCTCTCTCCCACTCACTAGCACTCGCACATCGTTTTAGTGGTCTCTCGTGTCGTTTTTTAATGAAGCGCCAAAATCAAATCAAAATTGTCGCGCTAATGGAAGCTACATGTGTATATGACGCTTTGACTATAGCGTCATTATTGTTATCGGCTCACTCTGCTGGACGACCGGTTCCTAACACTAAAGGCGCAAATGTTATCAGCAAACACGAGAGAGAATTACAAAAACAACAACAGGGGGCGCCTCAAACGACATTCCAAGACGCAGCCAACAGCCATGCTGCTAACCAGGGGGGCTCTCAAAGTTACTTGAAATGTGCACAAATATATACATACGTATGTATTTATGTATATAAATATTATATACATACATACATATATAGTTTTGCCAAACAGTTGAATGCTCTTTTATGGCACACAATGATAAGCTCTCTGACGTGCATAATAATAATGCAATATGCATAGAATAGTCATAATGGAAGTAATTAATATTGATCACAAGGCAAAAGCTATTGATTCACAATAGGGCGTGACAGTCGTTCACAATATCATGACAAATACGTACATATGTACATAAATACATACATATAAATATTTTGCATTGAAGATTTTTGCTTTTCGACTTGTAATCAGTGTTGATTAATTTTAGTATAGCTTTTTCTATCCACCTTGCCCCACTGTGGGTCAGGCTATGATTAAAACAATAAACAACCCCAGCAACAACAAAAATCGCAATATATGTATGTGTGTATATGTGTATACTATATAAAAGCGAATATAATAAATACTTATAGAATAATATGAATTGTAACGTAAACAGGCGATATTGCACAAAGTATTCATACATATAAGAAATTGAATTTGCAAATCAGTTTCTTGCGAATGTCCACATCCACATTCATACATACATACATACATATGTGTGTGTGTGAAGAATTGCATACATAACCTCAGTTTGACACTATTGTGAATGAAGCCGCGTGCACATGCGCCCCAACAGCCCCGGTTAGAGGGAGTGAGAAAGCAAAAGCCAAAAGCATGTCGCACAAGAAAATTTAACATATAAGAAGTGTAAACATTTCGATATTTGCTTTTCCAATTTAGTGAATGACTATTTTAACAGTCTGAGCAAATATTTGATTAATAATACGTCATACGAATGTTTGTGTGGGTAAATTACCGTACGACTTGCGAAAAGAATTAATTCACAATAGGCATAGATTGTTATTGCCATTTGAATGGGTCACAATAGGCAGCCATTGTTATTGCCTTCACACTCGGCAAAATTGATAACGAGATAACAAATCAAAAAATACATATTAATTTATATATGATGAATCAATACATTTTCGGCGCAATGCGACAGAAAGAGAAATATGGCAATTTGTCATCAACCTGAAGCACTCTCAAACTGTAAGCACCAACAGCTTTCAAAGTTTTGCATACACAGACAAAAAGCTCGCTTTGGTTTCTCAACTCCTAGACGATAGGCTATCTTTATTGACTACTTTGCTCAAGGCGGATCGCTCTTTTCATATTCATATTCATATTTTATTGGTGCGCAGAAAATCATCATCATCTTCATCGCTGGCATCCTCAACAACGCTATAAGAGCTTTTGCCGCCGCTTTCCTTGGCGAGATGCGTCTCGAAGAACTCCTCCACGGTATCCGTATTCCATTTGGTTATGGACAACGTTTCTTGGACCTTGCCACTGGCATCCAACAGTTTCACAATTGGATCTAAGCCGCGCACATATTTGATTTGCAGATTGGGGAATTTTGCAGGCCGACCGCTCTGTATGAATGCCTGGATCTGAGGATAGGCACGGAATTTACAGGTGCAAACCTCTAGAATCGCCTTGGCATAAGTGCGCTGCGCCGCTGGCTGCTGATCCTGTGTGCAGCACTGCTTGCAATGAGGTCTAAAGGATCGATTTATTAATATTGTATGTAATCATAAAACAATTACTTACTTAATAGCCTCCAGTCCAAAATCATCTAATTTGTCACAATTGGAGCACATCAACTGTGTCTTAATAAAGCCTAGCTCCCGGCATTCAGCAACTGTGAATTCAGAATGAGCCGACTTAAGGCACTGCAAAGGCAAAATAAGTCAGATAAATATAATAACTGAAGATTGTCGTACTTACGCTTATAAAGGCCACAAAGGAACACAATAATAATACAAATTTGTTCATATTTAACTCAAAAATTTAATTAATCTACCACGTCGTTGTTTACAATTGGTTTAATAGCAATCGATTACTCGATATAAGCATCGCTGCTCTCAAGCGCCTGTGCACAAGTTGGTATTTTCTGTTGAATTTAGTATTTCATATTTTAGTATCTGTGCAGCACTGGATGAAGCAGTGCGTCGCGTGAAGTTGGCAGTGAAATTAAATTTGCTGAAGAAGAAGAATGTGGCTCGCGTAGTCGCATTTGTTTTGCTCCAACTAATTCACTGAAGAAAATTTGATTAACAGTTCGTTAATTATTGCAAGTATTACAATAGCTAACGAAATACCGAAACGTATTACAATTAAATTATTTACCGTTCCAAAAGACAACAGTATTCTGTGTGTGTTTGGCAACAGTTTTTGGCAAATCAATAAATACATTCGTTGAGAGCGAACGCGCTGCGCAAAAGTGAAAAACCAATCAACGAACGCATACAAGAAGGTGAATAATCAAAATGAAAAACTAAATTCGGCATAGAAAATACAAATTCGATTGCTGTATAAATAAAACTTGTGCCGAGCTCTTGTTGCTCTTGTTGCCTTGTTGCTGCTGCATCAGTTGTTGGGGTAGCACAGAAATAGAAACACAAATGTAAAAAGGTTGTAGAGCATAGGTGGAGGAGCAAAACAGCTCCAGGGGAGCGAGAATCTTGCCTATGCATGCCTATGTGTGTGTATGTGTGTGTGTGTGTATGTGGCTACAGCTGTATGTTTGTATGGGCGTGCTTGTTTGTGTTTTGATTAGTAAATTTATAATCTAAGAGCTTCTGCTGATATTTCGCCTCGGTGTTAAATACTTTTTCACTGTGATAACTGCTCTATGTGGCAATTGTTGTTGATTCTATTCATATTTTCTTACTCAACGGCTCGTTAATTCATTCATTTGCCCTTGTCCAGCAATAAGTTGTTTTTCTTCTTCTTATTCTTGACTAGAATGCACAGGCACAAATACTGGCGCAGCTTTGAATACCCTACAAAAATGAATGCATTTCAGTTACATGGCCTTGCATGGGCTTGGGCGTGTGTAAGGGCATTGGAAATTCGGCTAGCCGAAGTGAATTCTACTGGTGAAACTTGTTTTAACTGCCCACTTTAATGCATTTTGTATTCTTAACGGTTCTAGCTATTGCGTGTGCATATCTGTGTGTGTCTGTGTCTGTGCATGTGTGCTCGTTCATTCAAGTTGATGCATGCAACGACATGATGCTGCTGCAGGCGGAAGCTGCTTCTTAAGGTCTTCATTCAGTCGCCTGCTTCCGCCTGTAGCTCGCGTCTCGCTTAACTGGTTTAGGGCACAGCTGCCTATGCGTGTGTGTGCATCTGTGTGCGTTTGCATTGTTCGCACCTGCTGCAAGAGGCACCAACAGCAACAGCTACAGCTACGATGGCAGCTGTCATTCTGCTCAAATTTCTTATCAATACGAAAAACCTTCAGATCGTGTTTTGTTTTTCGCTATTTTTGCGTTACTTCTATTTCAACTTCTTTGTCAGCCTATTGAGTTAGCCAAGTACCTGGCTGGCAGAGCCAACTACTTACGCATACATGTGCAATATATATTTGTGTATGTATGTATGTCGAGTGCCTATTGAATTTCTCCTACCCACGCCAACTCTCAGTTTTGCCCTCTTTCTATTTCACATTTCAATGGCTGTCTGAGGTAATTTGTGTATTTTTTTCTTTTTGCTCGTTTCCTGCAAATGTTTGGGTATATTAGTTACGTGTGAATTGATATATAATATAAATATAAATCTATGGCCCTATATATGAACATATACATACATATATTTGCTAAACTGTTATATATTGCAAATTACAAATATAAATATCGACATTGATCAATATTGACTTTTAAAACGCCCATTTTACTTATTCGTATTTTGATAAAGCTTTATATACAGCTAATCTTTCTGCAGAGTATGAGCTAGCCGAGAGTTATGTATGTAAACCTAATATTTATGTATATATAGCTGTTGTGTACATATTATGTACACTTTCAATCGTGTGACTCAGCTCTGACTTTATCAATTGATTGCATTGTTGTTGTAACATACGCGCTTTATCGCCTAATCAGCGCCTGTTTTGCCACGCAAAAAGAAACGAGCGATATGAAGCCAGCCCAGCTGGCAATAATTATTAGTACTCATGTGTCTTTAAGTAAGAAGAGAACAACTGTATTGGCCATTCGGTCTAATTACCTAATTGTTAATGGCCAGTGAATTACAGGTAAAACGCTAAAAGAGACGTGTATAAAAATACAATAGGAAGCAAAACTCTGATTAAAGAGGAATACTAAATATGAGTACTATTTAATATAATAGTTAGGTGTGACTAATAGTTAGAGAGGTAGAGCAGAGTTAGAATTACCCAAGATTTGAGATAAGATTGGTATATATACAGTACTTTCCTGGTATAGATAATCATTGAAGCAGAGTGTGAAGTGCAACTGCAGACATATGGAATACGAAGATTGAGAGTAAGAGAGAAAAAGTGAGAGAGAGGGAGAGAGAGTAAAAAAGAGACAGACAGAGAGAGAGAGAGAGAGAGAGTAAAAAAGAGACAGACAGTGAGAGAGAGAGAGAGAGAGAGACCAACAGCCATCGATAGATCCCTTGAAACTGGAACTCCTCTAAGCAATAGCCCAAGATCTCAAGCTATATATACATACTTTCAAGTAAACATTCTATGAACAAGTCTCTGATACCCTGTAAATTCTAGATTTCTCTGTTTTATCTCGTTTCCAAGTTCATAAATCTCCCAGAATAAGCTTATATCTAGAGTGTTTATTATGGTAACACTGGGCATATGGTATGTGTGTGTGTCTTATAAATTGACCTTCTCCTAATATGTCCGGCACACACGCATTCGCCCACACCTCGAATTAACTTAACTGGGAAGCCAAATAAACTGCGCATTTGCGTGTTTTTTGCGGCTGTTCCTCCATTTGTAAATGTTGCTAATTAGAGTCGTAGTCCCGATTTGCACAGTGAACAGCAGTTGGAAATATACGACTACAACGATTTAACAGCCCAAGAACTATTTTGAGTTATTATTCAAATTCGCTTTCAATTGCCCAAAAGGTCAATCAAATTGGCACTCGTTTGCTCGCGCGACAATTTCTCCATGAGAACGTTAACTGTAGAGCTTGATGTGTTTTTTCCTCTCTCTCTATATATACATATAGCGTATGTAATGCTTCTGAAGTACCGTTAGGTTCAAGGACATCTGACAACAGTGGAAAACCAGTTAGCCATAAATTAGCGTGGCGAATAGCTCGTAATTAAAGTTCTGAACTTGAGCCAAAACAAAGCTTGTTTCTACGAGTTGCGGGTAGAAAAATATATAAATATAATAATCAGGTGGAATATTCATAGAGTACAAAGTATATAGACTCTATGACGTGTGGCGGAATGTTTATGGTGCCTTTGTCACGGCATTTATAAAGTGGAACCACACGAAAAATCATTGTAAGCGTGGCAAGCTGTAAGTGTTCCGATCTGTGAAATCTTATTGAACATCTGCTCAACATGATTGTTTATGGTATATATAGAATGAGACTCATACTAGCTTATTACTCGTTGTTTACTACTAATAGACTGTTAGTATTTTATTGCTACTAATATTGCTAATCTTGCTGATATTAGTTAGTAATAGTGCTGATACTACTACTATTTCAGTTGAACTAATCTACCGTCAATAGTAGTATTATATCACTACTCTACTAGTACCACTACTACGACTATTACTACTACTTTTCCTTTTACTATTACTATCAGACTACTTTTCTTCTGCTCTACTATTTCTTATTTACTACTGTGCTAGTATTTATACTTATGCTGTCCCAAGACTAGCAACTCTTCATTTACTACTATTTTGATACTCATCTACTACTAATACTACTACTACTACTACTTTTACAACAAGACACCCTCTACTTCTTTACTCTGTCTACTATCCACTATTTATACAATATCCGTTTCTTGCACATTCTAAGCATTTTAACGATCCACTCGTTTTCCACATGCACTCGTGGAACTAACTCTACCTGCAAGAGTTACCTTATTGTCATTTAGCGTTAAGGATAGTCAAGGTGACTTACGTAAAGTTCAACTTGCCAAGTTCAACGTATTCGCGCTTATGTATTTTTAAAAGTTAAGAGTGAACACATTAAAATACCCAAAAAATAAGTAAACAACGAAAAAAAAAAACAAGTGCAAACTGTGCAAACATCTTCGTTCAGTTGAGACAGGTAAATAAAATGTGTAATTTGTGTTTATTTCTCTTATTTTGTACAGAACATGTAATTTGTTAATTAATAAGCCGCTTTGTTATTTTCCACTTAGGTCGATAGCGAGAGACAGAGAGGGAGAGAGAGAGAGAGAGTGACAGACAGACAGAGATGAGAGAATGGGAGAGAGAAAGAGAGAGAGGGCAGCAGTGGGAATGAGATTGAGGGCAAGGCTGGCCTAGGCAGGCGTTAGCACACTCTACAGCACAGCTCGGCACAACACACACACACACACACCAACACCCACAACTTAACACGCACACCACAAAAAAAAAAAAAAGAATAAGAAAAACACAGTAAATTCACTTTTATTGAATTTTAAGTTGATTTTAATTGCACTTTGCTTTTATTCTGTTGCAGACAACGCACGAAAAACAAAACAAAAAAAGTCAAGAACAAAAACTAAACAAAAAGCAAAAAGCATAAGCAAAACACAAGACACACAAATTTGTTTGCCACCCAACCTGCCTCTCGCCCACTTGCAATACTTCTCGCCATGCGCCGCCGCCTGCTGCTTAACTTGTAGAACTCAAGATGAAAGCTCAAACGCTGCTTGCCTTTTCCGCTGTGCTCTGTGCCTGCCTCTCGCTGAGCGCCGCCTGCTCCTCGCGTGCCATATCCAAGCCTCGTCCGGAGGCAGCGCAGACATCGCCTCCGCCCGATAATGTCATCGCACTGACCACCACGTCGAGGCCGAACATCACGTTCCCGATCTACAGCTGCCCGCCCACATATGCCGCCTGGTATTGCCTGAACGACGCCACCTGCTTCACCGTGGAGATTCACAACGAGATTCTGTACAATTGCGAGTGCGCGTTGGGCTTTATGGGTCCGCGCTGCGAGTACAAGGAGATCGACGGCTCCTATCTGCCCACGCGCAATCGTGTGATGCTGGAGAAGGCGAGCATCGTGAGCGGAGCGACGCTCGCCGTCATCATTATGGCCATGTGCTGTGTGGTGCTCTACTTGCGGCACGAGAAGCTGAAGAAGGAGAAGCTGCACTGCAACAGCAACGGGAACGATGTGGGTGATCTGGGTTTCGAGAATGCGGGCGTCGATCAAGTGGATGGCTTTAAGCCGCTGCGCATAGCGCGTCGTCCCTTTGGGCCGCATCATTGTCGCATTGTCACATTGGAGCAGGCCTATCGTCTGTCAGCTGCCAGCCATGAGCGTGCCAGGCACTAATCTGCGCTAACGACTAATCTTTCAAATTGTTTAACTGTTTTCATTTTATTACAAATAACTGATTTATAACTTGAATTAAGCGATTCCATCGAAGTGCCTTTCGATTATGCAGCTAACGCAATAAGTATTATTAACTGAAATCCAATGCAATTTTGGCAGCGAGCCGCCCATTTATTTAATAATACGACTAATTTAATAATTATTTATTAAACAAATGACAAAGCATTACAACTATTTTTAATAAAAATGCGAGAACAAAGTTTTGACTAAATAAAAAGTAAATTTGATTTATGCATCGTATTTATCTCTCTTTGCAGTCTATTTTAAATTATATTATATATTCAAAATTAATGATCTTCATCCCATTCTTTCTGTTTTACAGTTATGCCGCACAATAATCAGCAACCCTCCGCACCGGGCGATGATCCATTGGGTCCGCCCAAGGCAGACTTTAGCGCACCTCCGCCGTACGAGCCGGACGCACAGGGTCAGGGCGGCCAACAGCCACTGGCGCCGCAGCAGCCCTCGCTGGCGCTGACCGCACACGTTGCAAGCGATGGGGATCAGTCGCAGAGCTGTGAGCTGGCGCTGCCGCAGGAGCTGCACGGCAAGCTGCCCACATATGAGGAGGTGCAAATGGAGAAGTCACTGAATGGAGAGCTGCCGCCCGCCTTTCTGACCTTGCCAACGACCCAGCAGTTGCCGCCGCCGCCAAATCCGCTGTTGCCGCTGCCCCCAAATCCGCTGCGTGATGGCCCCGGCGCTGTGCGCTCCAATCATCCGGCGCTGACGTTCATTGCCATCGATGCGGGCGATCCGGAGAACAGCCTGTCGACCACAGACAATTTGCTGGGCACGGACATCATGTTCATTACGGCGTTTATGGTCGCATTTCTATTCAACTGGATTGGCTTTCTGATGCTCACCTGTTTCTGTCACACGATTGCGGCCCGGTACGGCGCTCTGTCCGGCTTCGGGCTGTCGCTGGCCAAGTGGACGCTGATTGTGAAACACTCAACGGACTTGGCCTCGCATGAGAACTCGTGGCTCTGGTGGCTAATCTGCGCCTTTGGCTTCCTGATTGCCATACGCGCCTTCATACAGTATGTGAGCATCAAACGCTCCTGGCGCCTGCTCTCCGCATCGGCCCAGGAGCGATTGCTCTTCTTCTACTAGGTGCGGGCGCCGTCGCCGACGGCGGATTATGTAAATACATTAGAAGTGCGAGTCATTTGAAAACGATAAACATATGCAAATATCCTTTACGTTCGATCCCAAAAAACACACACAAACAGAAGCAGAGAGTGAAAGAGATAGAGAAAGAAAACAAAGAAAGATATGAAATCAAATGCGAACTTACTATTGGTTAGTGTTCTCTGTAGTTACTATGTTAAATAGCGCAAGTTAATCCATAAATCCGTTAAATCTAGCATATAATATTGTCGGCATGTCAATGAGACAGGCGCACAGAGTAGTGAGAGTCGGGATGCGGATGCCATTTGGATCCCATTTCGCTGCACCTTTTGCCTATCTAATTGATCTATGTTCTTGTATATGTAAACTGTGTATAGATGTCTCACTGTAGTATCTTCTATTTTTAGTAGTCGAAAGAAAGACACCACACATAAAACACGTAGCGAAATGTATGCCACCATATTTTATGTTGAGTCTATTCTATGCTGTGGTACTTAAACAGCTACAACACAAAAGGCAGCAGTAATTTTTCTAGATAAATGCAAAGAAAAGAACTATTATAATTACGATTATTGCTATTATAAAGATTACAATTAATATGTTTAATCCCTTTATATGTAAAAAGATATGCATTACAAGGACGTATATCAGAATTATACGTCAATTTTATGCAAATTAATAAAATTAAACCAAAAAAAAACAACCTCCTTTGCCCTATGTTTCATTTTGAATTTCGCTCGATAATATTGTGACTTCATTTATCAAAATAGCACTTATCGATATTTAAAAATATCGGCCCGGCTCAGAAATATATATCGCATACATTTGAACAGTCTGGCAATATTGTGCTTTGCAATCAACCCTGCGATGAAAAATAATTACCATCGGTTTCTATCGAAGCAATCTATTCATATTACTTGCAGCTCATAGAGAGAAGTGTCTCGTTCGTGTGTGGAAAATAAAATTTCACAATAGGCAGCCATCTTAAATATAGAATTAAATTTTGTATAAAAAACGTGTTAAAATAGTCACAGAAAACAAAAATAAATTGCATAGCGCTGCAAATCAAGAAAACTAATCAACGTAAGTCAATCAATGCATAATTTCCCGTACTTTCATTAGCTGTGAAAAATATTCTGTGCGTGTGTATGAGTGTGTGTGTGTATCTGTTGGCAGATTATTTTTTTCACATTGCCAACCTGCAATCTAATTATTGATTTTCATTGGTGGTCTCATGGTAATAGTGGCTTCTGCTACAAATTTTTCAGAAATTATAAAAACTTATGCAATCTATGCCGTAAGAAAAAAGTACATTTAGTTTGCTGAGCTTTTGATATAATGTAAACTGCGCAGAATTAGTGGTGAATGAAGTTGACAATAATTATCTCTTAGATTATAATATTTAGTTTAATTCTTCGTTGTGATAAGTAAATAAATGCATGATCTGCTTAAGCATACTTTTTTCAATGCCGGTTTTCTGATTCAGCCGACACGCACACACACACATACGCATCGCTTGGTCGCCATTTTTTTTTTTAGATAGGCATTCACCTCAACCAGCAAAAGCATTTGCTTTTGCCGCTATTTTCAGCCGGTTATATTGTTGTTGGTGCATTAAAACCAGTTTTTTTTGTATCGCTGCTAACTAACTGTGCCCATTTCTCTTTTGTGCTTGTATTTGTGTATGTCTGCAATTCTGGTAAACAGGTAGCGTTCTACATGTACGTCAATGCGTGCGTCAATACATACTTAAATACTACCCTGTTTTCAGATGACGTTATTTTTGTATACATATAACTTGATGTGTATGTATCTGCGCTTCCTTTGCACACCCCTAGATACAGATACTTTACTTTTTTGTGTGCCTAACATATGTTTTTACTAACTTCATCTAAATAATTCAACTACTATTTAGTAACAGTTAAAATTAGTTTACATTGTTTATGTTCTGTGATGTTTTTTTAATTTCAGCATAGCCTTTACAAACGCTTCATAAACGCACGCTTTCGCTTACCCAAAATACCCAAAAAAAAAATTCTTAAATACATATTTTCATCTAGTATAGCTAAGAGTCATGGTCAGGTATGCCTAGAAACCCATTAAATATACTAAATATACACTTTTACAACTAAATGCATTTTAAGTACCTCTATTCAGAGTGTTCATGCTTAGATATAAATATTTAATTTGGCTAAGTGCAATCCTCCATCTTTCTCTTTCTTTTATTGCAGCGTTAAGGTCAACGTAAATCCGCAACAACAACAACTACATTCGCGTCCAGCACATTTGATCAACGGCAACAACAATCTTAAAGCGAATATGGCTTTCCGTGGCAATCAGAATCGCAATCGCAACTTTGGCGGCGGCGGTAATCAGTACGGCGGACCGATGGGCGCCAATCGCATGGGCGGCATGAATATGTCGCCGTGGGAGTCCCAGAATCCCGGAGGCGGCCAATTTGGCAACAATATGCGCCAAGGTGGCGGCCAGATGAATGCCCAGGCTATTAACTTGGCCAACAATTTGCTGAACAATCTATTCGGCAATCAGAATCCACCCTCGCTGCTGGATCTGCCACGCGGCGGCATGGGCAATCGTAATCAACGCGGCGGACCGGTATGTATCGATATATATCGAGCCTTTTTTATCAACATTATAATTTTTGAGTATTCTATTATTATTTTGTGTCTAATCCTCTCTCCGTGGAGGACTGAGAGAGGAGCAGAGGAGCTGAACAGAATTGGTTTACAAATTGCACTTGTTTGATTCCAAGTGTAAATAGTATTGTAGATCTATAATAGAGCTCATTTAATATGCTAATTAACCGCTATCTGTACTTAAATCAACATAAAATTGAATTTACTTGATTTTTGTTTATTATTATTAATTTCTTTTATATTGGTGTCAACAAACAAGTGCACTTGAACCAAATAAAAACTAGCTTCCTCTGCCTCTTAGCTCCCCCACTAGAGAGATAAACCCAAAACAAAAACCCTTATTTTATTTTTATTAAGACATAAGTTTTAAATAGTTTGTAGTTGGTAACTAAAAAAAAAAAAAAAATGAAAAAAAAAAACAAACAAAATTTATAATTAAACCAATTTGCATAAAGTGAGAACCCTGGAAATTTTGGTTAGATGGAGAAGGTTTTCATAGAAAAAAGCATTTATTCCATTTTAAATGCAGATTTTTTGTTTTGTGTAGAATAAAATTTGTTGATGACTTGAATCGATTTGATTGATTGTACCAATTAAATATGAAGTACCGCCAACAAATGTTCCATTTAAAGATGAAAAGAGTATGATGATATTCGAGAAACCAAATATATATATATATATATATTCACTTTTTAGATGTATTTAGGCATTTAAATAACTTTTGTATAAAATACTTTATATATTTACTACGACCAAAAACCCAAATATCAAAAATCTTTGGATTTTTAAAACAATCACAATTTTTGCTAATTTACCAATTATTTATTTTTATTCTCTTCTACACGAAAACTGAAAACCAAACCAAACAAATCATTCGATGCTTGTTTGCAAAAACAAACTCAAAACAATACGCAAAACGCAAATCGAATCGCATCGAAAACGCATTTCGAATCGCATCCAAATTGTGCCTATACATCAAATACATATATATATATATCCGACGATGTTCGTCGCTGCGTGCATTTATTGTTGTTGTTGCTGCTGCAATTGTTGTTGTTGTTTGCCAACAAAATGAATATAACTATAACTACTTTTCCGTTGCTTGTGTTGTCGTATCTCTTCCAACGACAACGTTTATAAATGTGCCTCAAAAATTATGATTTACCTTTTTTTTATATTATTATTACTATGTGTATGCGCAACTGCAATTTCAAAACGATGTATGAACATTGTGGCACATGCAACAAACGAAACAACAAACCAACAAACGTAAAATGCATAAAACGCAAATATATTATATGAAATATGCAAATACAAAAACCAAAATGCAAATATATATAAACGATGCGATGCCCAATTCTTCCAATGCGACGTCCCACTGCACTGATTAATTGATTGATTGAAACTCTTCTAATCTGCTCTGCTCTGCTCTGAAACTGAATAACTAATCGATCCGATCTGGTACTGGTACTGATTACTGATTGATGGTGTGCAACTGCAATTTGCAAAATTACCAAAAAAATATATCAAATAACAATTAAAAAAAAATACAAAAACAAAAATCAAAACTATCATATAACACATCGCCATTCTTCTTCAACGTTCCTGCTCTGATCGAACTCACAATCGAACAATCGAAATCGAACTTCAAACCGATAAACCGATCAATCCACTTAATCGGTTCCTATGCCCGCCCGCCCGTGTTCTGTGTTTCTCAAATCCACAAAATGCCATAAACGCCGCCACGCCAACGACTTCAACAACAAAACATCCCCGTCGACTGATTGCGCGAACCGCTCCGCCGATTTGACCAATATACATCTATCTATCTATATATATATATATACGATATATATATTTATCTTTATAAACAATTAATATTATATATGTGTGAATTCTGTTTTCCCGTTTTGTCAAAATGGAAACTAATTTAATTTCGAAATTTTTTATACAATCCAAAAATATTGTAAATGGCTTAATGCCATCTATATATGTTATATATGCCTTCGCTTTCTATATCTATAATGATTTTATTGTATAACTGTAATCGATTGAATTTATAATTGTACCATATCGATAACGATACCGATGACAATCTATCAACTGAAAATCGTTCAAACTCTACTATTCATACCATTTGCTTCATGAAAAACGAATCTGTTTGATATAAACTATATAATTTACTACTTGAATGTATTGTAAACAAAACGACAACATCAAAAAACAAAAAACTATGTATGTGTTAAACATAAATAGATGGTCAATCGCGGCGGCGGTGCCGGCAATCGTCTCAATAATCGTCGTGGCCAAGGAGGTTTCCAAAATCGTGGCGTTACGGGTGGTCCAAAGCCCCCACAAAAGCAGGGCGCCGGCGGCATTCGTAAGCAGAATGCTTTTGATCGTGCCAAGAAACTTTTGGCTAAAAATGCCAACACTAATAAAAAGAAGGAAATTACTCCTGGCGAAAAAAAAATTGAGAGGTAAGAGTACAACTACTATAAAAATCAAATACAACAAAAAAAAAAACAAAATAATTCCAATAAAACATTTGCCAAAAAAATATAAATATCCGCGAAAAATTGCTCAGTTCGCAATTTTTCCCTCCACATCAATGTATCAATTCTACAAATATTTTTTATCAATGCATCAATTACAAAAAAACAAAAAGTATAACTTTAAGTACTTAATTTCCAATTTTTTCCAATGCATATTGATAAGTTCTTTCTACCAAGAATAATCACAATTAACTATCTCAATTGGATTGCTATATTTATGTATATATATAATATACATATGTATATGTATGTATATATAAATATATGTGTGTATTTCCCTATTTTGTATAGAACATAAATCCTCCTTACTGATTGATGTTAAAATAGAGCGTCTGAGTTTATAGGATGGGTGGACTAAATGTGTTTCGTATAATTTCATTTTTGAGTTATAAATGTTACGTATTTTATTTTATATATTATTATTTTGCTTTTATTTTATTTTCTCGCATATGCTAACTTATTTTAGTATACCTCACGACTCATAGATATCATTTAAGGGGAATATCGTTTGATGTGTATATTCATTAATGTTCAAGCTGTTCGGTATACCGAATTGTTAGATACCCTGAATAGCGAACAGTAATAGACTTTGTAATTATTTCAAATATATATATGTAAATATATATTGATTAATTTTTCATATCCTCTATCCACTATAACATGTTTTTGTGATAATATATACATATATATTCTTTATGAGGAGAAGTCCTCCAGCATTGTCCGCCGTTTTGCTATGTTCGCATAAATGTATTATTCTCACCAATCTTCCGAATCTCGAAATCCTTCCTCGATTTCTCTTTAATACTCTCCGATTGACACAGCAGCTCAGCAGTTCAAGGTATCTATCTAGCTATTTGGATGCTTCCGCCTCTTTGGTGCTATACTAATGTTTAGTCAGCTTTATATTTTTGGAATTCATGAAAGACATATTCGCATCCATAACTTAGTTTTATAAATATTCTCTTGATCCGTTTCAACAACAGATTTCATATCAACGTAATCATGTCCGTCTGTTTTTGTTTCCGTCCTTAAAACCATCATAAAACATTGCATAGATTTGGTTTTTGTGCTTTGTGTAAACCACATTGAGTTCGTGTATCAGAAAACTGAAGTTATTCCAGAGATATTTTTAGTAAAGTCCGACGATTTATGCACTATAATCGTAATGGGAAGTATCATTTTTTCCCTTCCAATCAATTGATTGCCCATCCTTCATTACTTCATCAATATGCCAGAACTATTAATATTATATACATATATATATTGTCTGTCTATATATATTTATCCAGTGCAATCCTTTCAGCGTGACTTCTACAGCTGCCGCCTATTAAAGTCAGCCTCCTTTGAAATAATCTTGACTAATATATAAACTATCTTTTACTCTTTCCACTCGATAATCGTGTGATAATTAGTGTCACCACTCCAAAGGAATCGCCGTATGCTAGCGTGCCGAACGATATGTTCTATTGTCATCTGTGCAAGAAGCACATGTGGGATGCCAACTCGTTTGAGAACCACATCAAGGGACGCACCCATTTGATGATGCGCGAGGGTATTGAGGAGAGCTATCGCCTGAAGGCCAACATGATACGCCAGGAGGCCAAGATTGCTGAGCAGCTAAAGTCGATTGAGTTTGATCGTTTGAAGCGCATGGGCAAGAGCAAGCAGCGCCAGTTGGATTATTGCACCATGTGCGATTTGAACTTCCATGGCCATATCTCAACCCATCGCAAATCCGAGGGTCATTTGCAGCTGAAGAAGTTCTTGCATCCCAAGTGCGTGGAGTGCAACAAGGAGTTTGCCACACGCATCGATTATGACACTCATTTGCTGTCGGCCGATCACCTGAAGAAGGCCGCTGAGAACAACACCAAGGTGGGCGAGCGTAAGCGTCAGACTTTGCCCATAAGCACCGCTGAGGAAGAGACTCGCGACCTCCGTCCACCACAGAAGCGCAAGAAGAAGCCCGTGAAGAAGGAGGGCGAGGAAACCACTGAAACCAAGAATGACAAAGAGGAGGGTGCCGAGGGCGAGGAAGCTGAAGGTGAGGAGCCCAAAGAGGGTGAAGAGGCTGCTGATGAAACCAAGGAGGGTGAAGATCTCAATGAGAGCCAGGAAGAAGAGGAGGTTGCTCTCCCCGTTGATCCCGAGGACTGCATCCTTGACTTTGCCGAAGGTGATGAGATTCCCAGTGAGGTAGACACTCGTCTGCCCAAATACAATTGGCAGCGTCCCGTTGGCGCTGGTCTGATCTCAAAGCTGGAGTGCTTCGAATGCGCTGTCTGCAGCAAATTCTTCGACACAGAGGTCACCGCCGAGATTCACTCGCGCACCGCAACTCATCATCGCAACTTCCTCAAGTTCATCAATGAGAAGTCCAGCGATACCAAGATTGCACAAAAGCGTGCCGCCGCTGCCCTTGAGGAGAATGAGCGCAAGAAGCGCAAGATCGATGAAAGTGAGACTCCAGCTGCCGAGGGCGGAGCCGAGGAGACCACTGGCGAAGCTGGCGAGGGAGAGCTCTACGATCCATCGGAGGCCACTGGCGACGACGAAGACTTCGAGATGGCTGAGAATAACGAAGGCGAGGAGGAGGCCGGCGAGGGTGAGGAGCCGGCTGGCGAGGAGAACGGTGAGGAGATGGAGACCCAGGAACAAGAAGAAGCCGAGCCAGAGCCCGAACCAGAGCCGGAGCCAGCTCCAGTGCCAACTCCCGCACCAGTAGCTCAGCCAGCTACACCGACCAAGACCGAGCCAGCCAAGACACCGGCAAAGGCCCCTGCCGCGGCAGCTGCTGCTCCAGCTGCAGCCACTCCTGCTGCCGCCACACCAGCTGCTGCTCCTGCTGCAGCCACACCAACTGCAACTCCAGCTCCGGCTGCTGCCACACCAGCTGCAGCTGCAGCTGCTCCAGCAGCCGATGCCTCGCCATCGCCAGCCAAGAAGGCAACGCCCGCTCGCGCTGCCGCCGGCCCAAAGGCAACGCCGCAACGCAATCGCGCGCGCGGCCGCTACAACCGCTACTAGACGAAGCATCAGAAGATGGCGGCATTATTGGGCATAAGACACAATATATAGATATAATATAATCCATTAATCTAAAGCACACAAAACTTTCCACACGATCGAGAGAAACCCCTATACCACTGTAAGACAGAGATCTGAAAGCGAATGCACTTCCACTTCTCCACCTCCATTCACACGACCTTTTTTCTCTTTGTGACATTTTCATCGCATTTTGCATAAACAATTTGTAATTTGTAATTGACACAGACAGACATCAACTGGACCTAAACACCTTTCCCCGTGTGTCTCCGATTGCAGAAACCAAAACACATTCACTAAACAAACAAAAACAAAAGAAGATTTAAAACAATTAAAGAAAAATGCATTCAAATTATGTACTAAATAACTTTTAAAATAAAAACTTACTTGTACACAACATGACAAAAGAAAATCGGCTATTTAATTCAAGAGGAGGATTACGATTATTATTCGATGTATAATTATGTTTTGGATAGATTTTGCACGAGTAACCGACAGAAATGATGTAAAATCTGCTGTGGGATTACGAGTAAGTGCGAACAATTTAATTGTAGAACTTCTTCGGGGATCCTGAATGTAATTTAACCATACCTTAATTGTGGACTTAATCCCCAGTCCGAAATCCTACCCAAAATAAAACACATCTCATATTTAATGGATTATTTATATCGTATTGTAAAAGCTAAATATGTATGTTTATACGTAATGCTTAGAGCTATACAAGTACAGTTAATAGATTATGAGAGTATGTGAAAGAGCGCTTTGTTCACTTAGCATACTACGGATAGAGTATATGTGTTTCAGCCCTGATATGGTATTGGGATTTATTATTGGATAGCTTACGACTAAATGAGACAGGCAGCTCCTTCAGCTGACTGGCGCTGAGGGAATGTGTCCCAGCATTGAGATACTCCTTGGCCAACGAGGGTCTTCAACTCAAACACACATACACGCTCGCACGCACACACATAGAGAGAGAGAGAGAGATAGGACTAATAAGTACTTAGGTTAGAGTGCAGACAGAACGGGTCTGCTCGACCTAATTGAAATCCAGGGTATTCTGCTCCGTTGTGGTGGTGCGAATGCGACTCTGATCGCTCTGCGAACGCTGCAGCCGACCGCCGCGCCAGCCGCAACGCCAGCGCTTGATGCAGCCGAGCAGCGACCAATTGATGCTCTTGGTGCGGCTCAGCACATAGATGTACGGATCGAGAGTGAAGTGCAGGGCCATCAGGACATCGGCTATGATGAAGAATGGATGCGATTTGGGCACACGATTTTCCCGAATGGCCAGTGGAATGGCAATCTGTAAAGGGAAGAAGCATTAAAAGGTAACACTATTTAACAAAATACAACTTTAATAGAATGAAAACAAAAAATAGTAAAATAATTGCATTAATTAATAAATTACACTGGTTAACCAAAATGGAAAGGAATAAATAACTCTAAGGATTTTTACTATAAATTGCCTTAAAATCTATTGAATTATATAATTTGCTGTACAGTGTAATTTATAGATATACACACAGATATACATATCTATAACTTACCATCTGTGGCATCCAGCAGATGACAAAGGAGATGCTCAGGAATGCCATAAGCTTTGCAAACTTGATCTCATCAGGTGAGGTCTCGGCAGTCATCGTTACGCTGTTGCTATGATGGAATTGACGTGGTGGTGGCATATTGTAGTGGCTGCTGCCGCCACCGGTGCTGGTGCTGTACGGCTGAGCCGAATAGAGGGTGGTGCCGCTGCTGCTCTCGGCGTCGATGCTGCGCACACTCTTCTCGCGATTAACCAGATTATATTGCATATACCGCTTGGTGGTGCGACTGCGTCCAATGACCCACAATACACGCGCCACAAACAAATTACAGGCGACAATAACCACGCAAAGTAAACTGCCTGTAGGGATAATTACGATGATTATTATGGGGAGTGAGAGGGAGAGAGGGGACTTACCAAACACCATAAAGAATATTGAGTAGGCCTTGTTCAAGGTGCCTGGGGCATCGCGATAGCGTATACATTTCAATTTCTCCGGATTCGTTTCGTCTATGTAGGCGCCAAAGCCAACAAAGGGCAAAAACGTAATTACGACGGCCACCAGCAAAATGCTATTGACACTCTTCTGAATCAGCTCATAGGTGATGTGCTATATAACACAGCCAACACAGATGGATCTAAGTGAATGCCATGTGAGTGAGTGGAAATTTCTGCTTACCTTGTGATAGATGAAGGGACGTGCAAGGGCCATACATCTCTCGGCAGCCATTACGGCTGCAATACAGCCGGAGCTGACGCCAAAGAAACGCCACACCACATGACCCACACAGTCAAGTCGCACAAAGAACGGCACCTCCTCCTCCTCAAAGAAATTGTACTTCAAGAGCGCAGCAGTCAACATGCCCAGCAGACCGACCAAGTCGTTTGTGGCCAGGCAGCTGAAATGGATGTAATAATATGAGGGTGAGTATACGACTGCATAATACTCGTTCATGGTTGATGGGAAAACTTAACAATGTCATATCATTTGCCTGCCTGAAGGTCTATAGCGAGTGCAGATTAGTATATGGAGTCATAAAGGTATAAAATAGATGTAGTTTTCCCAATATACCACGTCTTCTAGTCATAGAGGTGACTGCCTTTGTTTGTTTTTGTGAGGCTTTTCTATTCAATTTGCTTCCATCTCTATAGAAATTTGAGTACATCATTGATAGTATGATAGAGAGCATACATACAAGTCTAGAGCTTCAATGAAGAGCATCTACAATATCTCAAGACCTGAGCGAACTACGCTATAATCAAGAGTACCCCCACATGCATATATATTTCAAAATATTTTCAACTTACATCAGTCACACATTCGCAAACACCAATATACTCTGTTTCACTTTCATGAGCGGGCATTATAAAGGATGTGGGATTAGCTCGACGCAACTGAATGGGTCCATAAATTAGCGCAGTTTGAGACTGCTTGAGGTCCCTTTTTGCCAGAGCGACGTGCTCAGCTGTGGGCTCAAGTGCGTGTCGCAGCATAGGCCTGGTCTAGAGGGGCCATAGAGCCAACAGAGCCTGTAAGTTATTGTCTTTTGCGTTCGGCTCGTAAATAGCGCAATTAAAGTTTTCTGCACAATAAATGCGTTTAATGATGTCACATCTATTGGGCCTTATCGATAGCCCAAACAAATAGTGACAAATCGCACTAACTGACCAGTCGCAAGTTGATATACTTTTATATATGTATATACAAACTGTATATAGACGCAATATCCGCTTGATTGCCTGATTCATGCTCATTCCACAAGACCTGATTGCTTAAAATCTGTCTAGTAATATACCTGCTAGCAATTGCTGGTTGCTTGCTATCACCTGAATCCGATTAACGAATGTCTGCACATTTCTATTTAGCTATGTATTCTCTCTATATACATACATATATATTTTTTCAAACTGTTTTATTCTGGGCTGTTGGCTGATAAATGTATCAATGCAGTTCGTTAGAGAGAGAGAGTGAGAGAGGGTAGGTGAAGGCCGTTTAATGCCCTCAACTATTTGTATACCTCGTGAAGTACAAGTGTAAACTCTTCTACACGATTCTCATGAATGCAAGTCAGACTCATACTCTGTTCACATGTGTATATCTGAAGTGCTAGCTAATCGTACTATTATTGTTGTTAATGTCGTCAGGTAATATATATAGCTTATATACAGGTACGGTAGAGTAAGTTATGTGGGGTATCACTGCATCTAATATAAATAATGATTTTACAAAAATCTAGACATTAGTAAGGATCATTACTGGTCATATGATACTTGGTCTCTTCTTAAAATTGTTCAAAAACATTTTACATATTTGCTGTAGAGTATTTAGTATTCGTTCTGGTACGCCTGTGTCTATCATTTGTTTACTTTCAGATAGAAGACAACAAGTTCTCTGTTTGTCGTTGCAAAACTCGATTTTTGCTTTTATTTTCGCTTTTATTTATTTGTTTTTTTACTTACAGAACCATTAAAAATTGTCACTCGTCGTGGCGCATAAGAAAATCATTTGTCTTGGTTATAAATAATCGATTTCAACTCTCGGCAGTCCGAAGAAAATATTTACATGTATATAAATACCACAGATATGTATGTATATCGATATGGATGGAGATGCTGAATAGTAATTATTGTGGAACTACCGGACGAACGCATAAAGTCGGAGAAACATACTATATATATATGTATATACCCCATATATATAATATACATGTGTTTATAGTCGCAGCTTGTAATTACAATGTCGTTTTATGGTTTGTATATATACAAAACTTTTACATTAGTGAGTCGTATTTGTTTTAGAAAATGTTTGAGCAAATTTTCGCTGAGGCAACAAAAATTCCAATTTATACAAACAAATTCAAATGACGAGCGTAAACGACAGCTTGATACTCGTTCAAGAAAGATCATAAAATGTAGAAAATGTATAGTGCTAACATAAATATATAGAAGATATATAGATATATATAGCTGTGTGGGTCCTTCAAGATGAGCAACAGTGTGCCCATCATCGGCGTCTCTATAGAATTCATTGATCTCTCTTAGCCTCTATATGGAATGTCAGGGATCAGGACTTCTGGTATATGTAACGCCAGCTCTCTCTTGCTCTTTATATAGTAGAGGTACTATTCACTTGCTAATATTTTAGATGTACTATATTATATTCAATATTTCAAGTCTCTTTCTTTGATAGATGCCAAAAAGTTTTGCCAACTAATATGCTCGCTTTAGCCCAACAAGCAGGCATGAAATTGGAAAATAAGCAAATCATTGCAATCGAATAGCGGAAGTGTATCTACTATATGTAAATATTGTATGTATGTGTATATAGATGTATATACATATATACCTATATATAGATATTATAATTTATGCACGTACATTTTAGGGCCCGCATGAGGGCACAAACTTTCAAGGGCTGCCTTTATATAAATGTACACATACATACATTGCTCGTACATCAAGTGCCAATGAATGCGCACACTTTCATCAATCAAAATCAAAACTTGTAGATCAAAGCTTATGCCATTTGCACCCTTGAGCGAGCACACGCGCAAGTCCTGTGCAAGGACATTTCTTGTTGTTTCTACTTTTTGCCCCTATTAGAAAGCTCAAATTGCTTTGACAAGCACTTTGAGGATTTGCTGGGAACAAATTATGTTGAATGAAAACTGTGAAAATTGATGCCAGTTAAGCCAGATGAAAAATGAACTCGAATATTTTACGCGATTTGCCAGCCAGAAATTTCAAAGTGATGAAAGTAAAT